GATGGCTGGGACCAGGGATACCATTAGGCTGCATGTCTGAATCCCTTGAAAGAGCTGGTCTTCTCGCTGCAGGATCTGGGCTGTGCCAGGCGTGCTTGGAGTGGGAATGGGGACTACTCCAGGTCCAGCCTGGTGTGCCCTATAATACAGCCTGTCACCTTCTGAAGTGCACATCATGGAGCTGGCCGGGTTCATCTGGAGCACCCACTATTCTTAGGTGCCAGAGCTTTGACAAGCTTCCCTTTAGGATAGCATGGCCAAGGACAGCCAGTTTCTCTAATAGAAAAGATGGTGCTGAGAGTCCATGTTAAGAGGAACAGACCCTGACCTACAGCAGAAGGCACTTAATTCTGTTGCCAGGCTGTTTTAAGCTGCAAGGCTCTGTGTTCCTTCTAAAAGCACCAGAGTATTCAACATCTAAGATATGACAAAACATGGCACAGATTCATCCCAGGTTTAGGTAGAGGACCCAAAGGTGGCCCAACACCACCACCATACATCTGCCACTATTCAGCATCTTGGGCATGTCAGCTGGCTCCCTGTCATTCCTGCTTGAGCCCATGTTGGTAGACCAGATGATGTCTGACAGGGCAAGGGGTATTTTAGCCTGTGTATCTATCCCTTTGGTCAGGGAAAACTCAGGCGTGGGTCACAAGCTCAGTAAAGGTTCTGCAGTGAGCTGCTGGGACAGCCATCTGCTCTGGCCTCAGGAGCATGTTGCCTTCCCAGGCCCTCCGCCAGAAAAGTGCTAGGGGCTCCCTCCAGCTCAGCTGGGGTTTCCAGTATGTCCCTTGAAGACATGGGAGCATGTGAGTATGGTTGAAGGCACACTCCCTGACCTTTTTCCTCTCCCAAAATGCTCATCCCTGTCTTCAGTGTTTTGGGTTCCTGAAAGGATTTCCAGGCTTCCATGACAAGCTCTGGCCCCTCTTCCTCCACCCTGCCTGTTATACCAACCCTGAGGCACCATGGGTCTACCTGGACTGAGATAAAGGTGCCTTCCGACCAAATAATCCCTCAACCCTAAGGATATGAAGCGCTGTGGACATGGATCCTGAAATCTTCCTATGAGCCCTGGCTAAGAGTGCTGGCCATTCTTAGGCTCGTGGACCAGGCTAGGCATTGCATGAGCTGGCCCCACTGGCCCTGTTTCTCATTAAGGCCTTAGCATTCGTGGGCACAATCTGAGATGTAGATCCTTTGTGGCTAGCCTGTTTTAACAAGCACACCACAGAATCTGGAATTCCCAGGAAGCTGTGTAAGGACCCCTTGGGGCCACTGAACATTTAAGGCTCTCAAGGGAACTCTGGGAGAGGATGTGGGAAAGCAGAGAACACACTGAAGGGACTTTGAGGTCAGCCTGCACAGTGAAGCTCGAGATGTGGTCAGAACCCCCAGTGAACAACTGTAGTTGGTCAGGAATGGCTAGTCACCTTAACAGCGGCATCCAGGCTCCAAGCAGAAGCAGAAGAGGCAGAATGGAGAGCCAGGTGGCTAGGTCTGGCTGGGCCTGGGTTCCTGGTCCATCTTGAACTTAAGAGAGGAGGTCTAGGTAGGGACTGTCCAGGTGGGTTGATCCCCTCCCTATGGTCTGAGCAGGCTCAATGCCCACAGGTCCTTGTCCGGCGACTCGCTGACGGAACGGAACTCCGTGGGCGCATTGTGGAGACTGAGGCATACTTGGGGCCAGAAGATGAAGCTGCTCACTCAAGGGGTGGCCGGCAGACTCCCCGCAACCGTGGCATGTTCATGAAACCCGGGACGCTATATGTGTACATCATCTATGGCATGTACTTCTGCTTGAATGTCTCCAGTCAAGGTTAGTGGTACTGGGCTTGGGGAAACAGACAGGGCAGCATCTGGCCAACTCCCCTGGAAGACTGAGGTAGACAGGCATTTGAGCAGGGCGATGCCATTGCCGGGGTTAAGTTGGGATTTCAGGAGCTTTGACTGCTCTTGACAGGGCAAGCCTGGCTAAAGCAGCTGAGTTTCCACAAGACAGAGGCTACAGGGACAGCTTGAATGCAGAGCAGTCAGGTTCTGTGGCCAGAGTCCAGAAGGATGTTTTTGATTCTGGGTTAAATTTGGAGTGGGCCAGCAGGTAGGGAAGGGGAAAGCAAGAGACTGGTTTGGGGTAATCTGGGCTCATACGGGAACCTTGCCGAAAGTCCTGTTATGGGATCTGGCTCGGTCATTCTCATCCAGGAGTATTTCTGCCCCTGAGGAGACATCAGGCAATGTTTGCTGACATATTTGGTTATCATAGCTGGCTAGGTAAAGGCAGGGATGCTTCTAGAAACCCTACAGTAACCACAGAGGACCTTTTGGCCCCAGATAGCATTTGTGGAGGGTTACTGATGCAGTGTTCCTGAGAGAAACCGGCTCTTCTCTGGGGTCCAGCTCTGTCTTGACAAGCATGTAGCATTGTCCCCAGTGGTCAGAGTCTGAAGAACCAGTATCATCCTACCAAAGCCACCACTGGCCAGGAACATGATTGGCATATCTCAACATATGTGCTTAATACCCTCCTGCTTGCCCACAGTGACCAGATGTTCTTGGTTTGCTGGACAAGTACTTGTACTTCAGGTTGGCCCTAGCAGAAGGCTAAGGTGTCCAGTGCATGGGGTTTGGACGTTAGAGGTGACCACAGAGCTGATACTGAGGACACTATGGATGACTAGACATCACTATGAGAGGAGGCTGGAGAGGTAGATCTGTGGTTAAGAGCATTGGCTGCTCTTGCAGAGGACCTGGGTTCTTTTCCCAGCTTCCACATGGCAGTTCACAACCATAACTCCACTTCCAGGAAATCCAGTGCCCTCTTCTGGCCTCTGTCAGCACCAGGTGCACAAGTGTACAGACACACATAAGCAGAATTTCAATACACTTCTTTTTCTTTTTTTAATTAAAAAGAGAGAGAGAAAAAGATGACAGAAGCCTTCTTGGACAGAACCAATCCCGCTAGTGTGGCTGAACTAAGGAAACAAAACCAGAGATGTTAGTGCTATAGTTTCTGAGGGGGGGAAAATGCAGGTTCCTGAGACATGGTGAACAAGGCAGAGGCAGGGGTGAACATGTAACTGAAACACCCCAAGAACATCCAGGTTGGAGGCAAATTCCCACAAGGGTGTATGTGGTATTGGTGAGGGTCATCCATGTTGAGAGAGGCTAAGGACACATATCACTGGCACTTGGGAGTTAGGCAAGGACATGGAAGTCAAAGGTGTTTGCATGAAGATGAGAGGGAGCCAGGATAGGGCGGGATGATAAAGTGGCCCTGGGAGCTGAGAGTAGGGATCGTGTGCCCTGCACTCACAGGGACTCTGTGTCCTGCTTCTCCCTGAAATGGCAGAGGCGGTTCCAGTTGGTGAGCTAGGTACAGCACGGGACTGCACCTTCTAGTCTTTCTTGACTTACCATTTTCTAGTAGAATGGTGTCCCTTCTGCCCCAGAGGTGCTGGTTCTCTGGGGCTTCCTATGCCATCCTAATAGCCACCACCAGTCAAGACTAGGAGAAGCTACAGAAAGGACTGACTCACACTAGATGATCGTAGTTCTGGCTTTGGAGAGCAGTGGTGGGAGTCTCGCTGTCAGCCTTGCCAGGTAGAGGCTTCCCAAGGAACTCAGGGAAGGCAGAGCAGCCTAGCTGGTGACAGGGAAGGGAGCTGCATATCTGGATGCAGTAGGTACAGGTTACACATGCAGGAGAACAGCAGCACCACTGCCACAGTGGGTGTGTGCAGGAGATCTAAAGTTTACTTTCAGGCTGTCTGTCTGTCCCACAGGGGCTGGGGCTTGTGTCCTGTTACGAGCACTAGAGCCCCTGGAGGGCCTGGAGACCATGCGGCAGCTTCGCAACAACCTCCGGAAAAGCACTGCTGGCCGTACACTCAAGGACCGTGAGCTCTGTAGTGGCCCGTCCAAGCTGTGCCAGGCCCTGGCCATTGATAAGAGTTTTGATCAGCGAGACCTGGCCCAAGATGAGGCTGTGTGGCTGGAGCGTGGCCCTGTGGAGTCCAGCAGCCCAGCTGTGGTGGCAGCAGCTCGCATAGGCATTGGTCATGCAGGGGAGTGGACCCAGAAGCCCCTGCGCTTCTATATCCAGGGCAGCCCGTGGGTCAGTGTGGTTGACAGAGTGGCTGAACAGGTGTATCAGCCTCAGCAAACAGCCTGATGGGATTTTTTATTTTTTTAAAGTAGAATAAATATCTTGTTTGTGGGAACTGTCCAAGTCTCAGCCAGAATTTGTGTGCATGAAGTTAATTCTTCATCTGGGTCAGGAAACCTGGGAAGCCTGTATGTATGGCACTGGAGAGGGGAGAGTCATCAGTGTATGGGCATATACACCTAGGAGCAGGAATGAGTTAAATGAGTTTCTGGACACTCTCAAGGATGGCTGCAGGAGGGGCAGGTTGGGAAAGGGGTCAGAAAGACACAACTGTGTGTGTGTGTGAAGGACTTGGACTTCAGAGACACATCCTGGAAAACCTCCTCCAGCTCAGCAATGTTAAGATGCTGTAAGGACCAGACTGAAGAGGCGGCAATGGTTAAAAGCTTCCCGCTCTTCTAGAGTTCCGTTCTCAACTCCACACCCAGGGGCTCACAACCTCCGTAACTCTCGCTCCAGGGTATGCTTTCTTCTGACCTCTGGGGACCCACACATACAAAACCATAAATAAAAATAAATAAACATAGTTTTTAAAGTAAAGTTGGTGGCACATGCCTGTAATCCTAGCATATGGGGACAGAGGCAAGAAGATCAGGAGTTCAAAGTCATCCTTGGCTACCTATCACATGTGAGGTCTAGGCTGCATAAAACTTTGTCTCAAAAAAAAAAAAAAGTCCAGCAGTGGTTGCCCCATAGCTACTTCTGACCAGATGGACAGCTAGAACAAGAACTGGTTCTGCTAGACTAGAGCTGCCCATCCTCCCAAGGCCAGTCAGGAGCCCTGGGCAAGGAGTAGGCTAGTTCCCATTCCCACTGGGCATGCTGCCTGGGCTCATGTGAGCAGTGCTTGGAAGACAGCAATGACAGGGTCCTCATGGGTGGTCACCACCAGCACACTGCGGAACTTGTCAAAGAGCGTGAGCAGCTGGGAACGCCGTGTGTTCTCATTGTACATGATCTCCTCCAGATGGTGACGGCCACGGAAGTAGTGAAGGAGCCTGGAAGAGAGAGGGTGGCATGAGCCTAGCCCAAGACAAGGAGTAAGGACTCCAAAAGCCATTGATGGGTGGATCTGTAAGCTGCCTGCAAGCTTGTGAAGAGCCGTGTGACCGGCGGTGGGCCTGAAGGGAGTCCACAAAGCAGTGCGGCTATGCACCCAATGAAGGGAGAAGTGCTAAAGGCTTCTTTATTCTCCTATGACACTGGGTTCAGTCTGCTCCAGGGAACAGGTCAGGCCTGGATCAGCACTTGGAAGAGTTGTAAATGGTCCTCCAACAGTCTGCAGTGTGATTCTTCAATACTGAACATGACAACCTGACCTCTCTCATAACACCATGCCCTTACCACAACTAAGTCAGGATTGACATGGCAGACATTAAGCTACTTAATTTTTCACCAGGGCCAAGAATTAGGACATATTCGTGCCAAGCCCCAAGCGGGTCAGAACTTGAGAGTAGCTGCCTCTCAAGCAGTGACAAGGTACATCCAGAAGTTCTGAGTAAGCTGCCCACTAGACCTAGGGGCTTGGCCAGAGCCTGCATCCCCACACCTGGACAATAGCTCCTGCCCTTCACACATCAATCCTAGGTGGAGACCCACCATGAGCTGTGATAGTCAAGGATACCAGCGTTCCTATACCATGTCCCACTCAGTCGCCTGCTCCCTACCTGGCAAACATGCGGAGGTCCTCGGGGTTTTGGGCCGCAGGCACGTTGAGGATGGCAGCCCGCTCATGCTCGGAGAGGCTAGCCAGCAGGTTCTCTGTCATCCTCTTGTTCAGTGGCGAGTCCCCACTGGGGAGCAGCTCTGCACTGGAGTTGTCCATACTGGGGCTGGTAAGGGTCATGTCATCACTGCTGGCTGTGGGTTGAAACAGCCAATTGATGTCAATTATGCCAAGATGGAGAACATTGAAGGCACTGACAGCATCCAGATCCTGAGGTCACTGCCACACTCCCCTTCTGGTGCCCAAACTGTACCATGTACCTGCATGCAAGAACTCACTGCCACCCCACCTCCTAAGTGTATAGTATGCCTTTTATGTGGCTAACCTGGAACACAAGGAGCTGCCCCATAGGAACAGCTTCAAGGGCCCAGAACAGAAGAATGCTGCATGCCCACTATCCCCTAAAGCAGGCATGGGTATCATGTCCCACCTCAGCCAACATGGGGATGAAGCACTTGACAGAGTTCACATGGACCTAACAACAGACAGCTGTGATCCCTGTGTTGACAGTATGAGGCCCTGCTGAGCACTGGCTGGAGTAGGGGAGTCCAGCTGTGCTTCAGTGGGCAAAGGCTGCCCCTAACTACAGCCAGCCGCTTGGGGATGAAGCCTTCCCCTCAGACCCAGGGGAGGCAGGAGGAAGAGGTCTTCACAGGCAGGGACAGAGACAGGTGAGTATACAGACATGTAAAGACATCTCTTATTCCAGCAGTGCCTAGGCTTCCTGGATGCCATCACCAAAATCTCCCAGCCTCCCACTACCAGACAGGTGTCCTGGATGGGGATCCTACTTGGGGAGCCGAAGCTTAGGGCATTGGGCGTGCTGAGGCTGCGACCACCAACTCGGGCAGTGAAGGGGACATCATCCTCTCGCAGTCTGGGCTCCTCTTCACTGGGTGAGGCCATCAGACAAACGTAGGTGTGCAGCTGGATGAGGAGCCGGCGCTGCAGCATCCACACCACCATCTGGATGAGCTGGGTCTGTGGGTGAGCAGGGCAGACAGTGTGGGCTGGTTCCCTTACTCCACTTTTGACCCTGTTCCTAGGGGATGAGAGAGCTTAGGCCCTTAACAGCCCCAGTACCTAAGTATGAAGGCCTCCTGTTTGGAAGAAGGGACTCTCAGCTGCTGAGAAGGTCAGCTCAGCCCAGGGGAAGCAATGGGCTAGAAGAATTCCCAGACTACACTGGCACTAGCTCCCATCACACGCCTGGGCTCCCTCCCTTCTCCCTACAGCAAGGTCTGTTCTTAACTCCCTCACTCCAGCCCACTGAGACCTGCTGCCATTAGACAGTCCACTGCTAGGCAAGCCCACACACTGTTCAGAGAAGCAACTGCTCTATGAGTCCTTGGCTTTTCCTGAAAGTCTGCTCCGAGAACAGAGATGTTTCCAGAGAAAATGGGAAGGGGACCTACTGCTCCGGCATGCAGCCAGTGGCTGGCTCTTCCTTGATAAGGCACATTCAGGCCTTGTGAGCACTGGCCAGGCAGTACCCAACACCACGGAAAAGCATCCTCAGGCAGACACCAAGCTGCAAGGTGTGTGCAGACTGTACCAGTGCACTCATCTTTGGGAGGCCCAGAAGAGCTGCTGCTCAGGAGGTCACTCATGGGACAGGGCTGGGTTACCATGGTCAAAACCAAATAAAATTTTATTGAAATTCAAGCTATTGAAACACAAAACGTAAAAACTAAAACACAAAAGCTTTGCAAGCATTAGACAGTATTCCCTGGGATATGGCAAACCAAGCAGCTCCATCCCAGCCCCCAAAAAGGCCTGAAGCAGCTGCTCAGCATGGAAGATCAGCCGTTATCCAGACAACTGGGAAGTTTCTGCTGGGATGGGAGCACTGCCAGACCCTCCCCCAAGAACTGCCTGGGGGAGAGAAGGGAGGGTACAGATGTAAAGTGTATCTTTCATCCTCCTGGCTCAGTTCCTGGAAACCAAGGGCTCCGTGAAAGGCAGCTTTAAACTCTGGCACACTCAGCATGTAAATGAGCTGAAAACCCAGGATCTTATTCCCATTCACAATCTGAGAAGGGGAAGTATTTGACTTTAAGGACTGATTCTGCCAGCGTATCTGGCATCTACTGAAGATAAAGCACGGAGATCACCCAGCTTGTTTCAGACACCTGTCCTCTCCCCTGGGTCCCCTCCTAGAGCTCAAAGCACTTAATAGAGGGGAGGGGCAAAGCCTCTCTGCTCCAAGTCACCACTCCCCATCTCTTGAGCATGGGGCTGTGAAAAGTGACTGACCTGCAGCACACTGCACTTTCAGAAGCACCCATTACAGCCAGCCTCCAGCTACCAGCCCCTGCCCTGACCCAGGCCTGCCAGGCAACACACAGTCCTAGCCTGATGTACTGTAGGTCTTAGGAAAAGGACCATAGGCCCAGAGACCCTAGGATTCCACACCAAGATCCCATGGTTTCTAAGACCCCAGAGGAAGGGAAAGCAGGGCCTAGGCTTAGTGAAAAACAAAGCCGTCTGGAGCCTCCATCTGTGAGAAGCCCCTTGCCCAGGGGTAGCACAAGGAAAAGCCAATGCTCTTCCGGCAAACTTAAGCCAGTCATGGAATTGAGGATACCCATGGTGGCTCCATGGACCACAGGAAGCCTGCAGTATTCACCAGCAAGTCCCCCAAACCAAGCCGAAGGTCAACAGTGCTAAGGGCCTTTGAGTCAAGGGGGGCTCTAGTGACTCACCTCCTGTGCAGGGGGAGCCAGAGGGCTCCTGAACTCCAACAAAGAAACAGGCAAGGAAAACTTAGCCAGGATGGATGGCAGGTCATGGGACGGGAACTGGCGGGAGAACTGCTCAGCCAGCGGGGAGTACCTAGAGCAAATAACCATGGTCACAGTGCAGTCTCATGCTCACAGCAACTGTCTGGGTGGGCATAATGACAACAGAATGAAGTATGGTGACCTGGCAGGCCTTCGGATGGACAGAGTTGCAGGCATCGTCCCTTAAGATGTGTCAGGAATCACAGAACCCCTCTGATCTCAGCCAGGAAGAGACAGCCTTAACATGGGCAGCACCAAACCTGACTGGGATCTATCTACACCTAAGCACGCCATTGGCAGTTAGAGCTGGCCTCGGGACTTCAAAACCTCTGGTGCCTGGTCACTGGGGGTGCCACTAGGTCCTGCTAGACTCTTCCTAGCTCTAGACTCTAGATTTTGGCAGCCAAAGGTACTCACAGGCAAACACTGGCATTGGGAGACAGGACATAGACGTTGTTCTCACACAATGGGTAAATGATGACCGCCTTGCCCCAGTATACCAGGTGAGCTGCGAGCTGGAAGACCTGCAAACCAAGGGGAGATGGCAGGACTGAACTTGGAGGCCATGGTCTTCCTGCCTAGAAAGGATGCACTCTGGAACTCCTCCAACCTAAAGTAGCACTGTACCACCCCAGCCTCGGGGCCAGTGAGTACCACCAGCACTGTGTTGTGCACTGTTTTGTACACTGTGAACAACTGTCACTCTGACTGCTTTAATAAAAAAGGGAATGGCCAATAGCAAGGCAGGATTTTTGGGGCAAAGAGGATGCTGGGAAGAAGAAGAGAGTCCAGTCAGATGGAGAGGGAGTAAGACGTGCAGGACAAAAGGTAAATGCCACGAGTTACATGGCAACACATAGATGAATAGAAATGGGTTCATTTGAGTTACAAGAGCTAGTAGGGCAAGCCTAAGCTATAGGCCGAGCTTCCATAATTAATAAGAAGACTCCGTGTGGTTATTTGGAAACTGGCAGGTGGGACAGAGAAAGACTGGCTATAGCATTGGTTATGTATTCAGAGCTCCCTGTGCTGCCTGGTACCACTGTTTTGCTAGGCAGTTGGCACATGAACACAGGGACACTGAAGTGCTGGGGAACCTGATCAGCCCACCTGGGTTGGATGATCCCAGAAGCATAGCATTCCCATGTCGACTAGAACTCCAGCACCATTCTCCAAAGTAATGATTATGGAGTCTCTTATTGTATCCACTCCAGTGTACTCAAAGTTCCAACTCATCCCTGTGCACCTTGCTTTCCCCAGAGACCATCCTGCCCTGCTACGCTCTCATATACCAGGAAATACAGACACCAGAAATCCTTTCTAGGGGTGGCCTCCAATACACACTAACTTCATGAGGCCGCCAGACCTGAAAACACAGCACCTCAGCCCTTCATGAGAACATGTGTGAAATCCAAGCAATGACATTCTACCTAGATCACCAACACCCCGCTCCATCCTTTCAGCAGATGGGCCCAGGGTGGTGAGTTCTCCTGCCTGATCACAGTGCCTGTTATATTGTTGAAGGCAGGTATCTGCCAGCAACCAGCTCAAACATGGAGGAAACAGTGAGATGGTTGTTTCCACACTGTTTCTCCAAGTGCCACTGACATGAGCTCTCAGGTAAAGCCAGGCCCACTTTCTCTATTTCTGCCGTTCCCATCCTCCCTCCACCCCTAAAGTATGCTTCATTAGGCAGCCAGAACACCATTTTGGGGATTAAAAGTCCAAAATCAGCATGACAGGGCTGGAACCAAGGTGCCAGTAAATCTTTGCCCCCTTGGGGGGTTAAAACAATTTGTCTTTGTCTATTCCAGCTGCTGGCATTTCTTGGCTTGTAGCCTCATCAAGCCGATCTCTACTCTTACTTACATCACCTCCTTCTCTTCTGTAGTCAACTTTCCTTCAAGCCCCTTCTTAAAAATATTTTTTATTTTGTGTGTGTGTTCATGTACCTATAGAAGCCAGAAGAGGCTGTAAGATTCCCTGGAGTTGGAGTTACAGGAGACTGTGAGCTGACCAACTTGGGTGCTAAGAACCAAATTCAGGTCCTCTATAAGAACACAAAGTAGTCTTAAACCTCTAAGCCAATGAGTGGGTCCCAACCTTCCTAATGCTGCAACCCTTTACTACAGTTCCTCATGTTGTGGTGACCACAACCATAAAATGATTTCACTGCTACTTCATAACTGTAACTTTGCTACTGTTAAAAATATCTAATATACAGGATATCTGAGGCTCAGTAGTAGAGTGCTTGCCTAATCAATCATGAGGCCCTAAATTCAGTCTCCAGTACTGCCAAAAACCACGTGGGTATACATTAAAAACCTGAAGAGGGCCAGGCAGTGGTGGTGCACACCTTTAATCCCAGCATTTGGGAAGCCAAGGCAGGCAGATCTCAGTGAGTTCAAGGCCAGCCTGGTCTACAAAGAGAGTTCCAGGAGAAATAGGACTGTTACACAGAGAAACCCTGTCTCAAAAAACAAACAAACAAATAAACAAAAAACCCTGAAGAGAAGAACTGAGTGTGGTGACATATCTGTTGTGATATGAGCGGCGGGGCTGCGTCCCTGGCACCCGGCCGCCTGCTTGGCTAGCTTATGCCTAGAAATAATTACACGGAAACTGTATTCTTTTAAACACTGCCTGGCCCATTAGTTCTAGCCTTTTATTGGCTAGCTCTTACATATTAATCTAACCCATTTCTAATAATCTGTGTAGCCCACAAGGTGTGGCTTACCAGGGAAGATCTTAACCTGTGTCTGTCTGGAGTGGGAGAATCATGGCGACTCCCTGACTCAGCTTCTTTCTCCCAGCATTCTGTTCTGTTTACTCCACCCATCTAAGGGTTGGCCTATCAAGGGGCCTAGGCAGTTTCTTTATTAATAAGAAATCACTCCCACATCACATATCGAAGAGGCTGGGGCAGGAAATTACCACCTTGCAAATACATTGGGCAGGCCAAGCAGTGGTGTGCACACCTTTCACCCAGCACTCGGGAGACAGGCGAATCTCTGGGTTCAAGGCCAGCCTGGTTCTAATAGCAAATTCCAGGACAGCCAGGGCTATGCAGAGAAACTGTCTCTAAAACAAACAAACAAACCAATCAAAAACCCTCAAAACCAAAAAACAAAACAAAAAAGTCCACCTAAGGCTACAGAGAAGACATCCTATCTCAAAACTACAAGTCTGGAAGGGCCTTTAATTCAGCACTCAGGAGACAGAGGCAGGCAAATCTCTTAAATTCTAGGCCAGTCCGAGCTGTATAGGAAGATGCTGATTAAAACAAACAAACAAACAACTTTAATACTGACAGGATCTTCAGTATTTATCTCTGGAATAGAGGATTGTGGGGACTTTCTGATCTGTAATTTATGTTATATTTGAACTTTCATGACTGTTAATAATTTTTCATTTGTATTAATTACATGTATATGTGTGTATATTCAGGTGTCCTCAAAGACCAAAGGCATCAGACCCTGGAACTAGAGTTCTGGTCAAGCTGCCTTATCTGGGCGCTAGGAATGCAGCTCAGGTGCTCTGCAAGAACAATACAATGAACCACCTCTCCAGTCCTACTTACTAGTAATTTTATCAAGACAAAACTCCCAAAGTGTTAACATTCTCTGGATTGATATGGTATGAGTGATTTTCTAATTGTTTTGTCTTGCTTTTTGGAGACAGGGTCTCCCTTTGTAGCCCAGGCTAGCCTTGAACTCAGATCGTCCCACCCCAGAATTATACACATGTACCACAAGGCCCATCAGAGTGATCTTATAGTATGTGTGACATTCACACCCGAGGCAGATGTTCCCCCCAAAAGTCCAGCACCACCCTGGGGCTACTGTACTCACAGGGACACCTACAGGAAAGAGCAGCCCAGAGCACGTGAGGAGAACCACCAGGGCTAGAACTCATAGGGTTTCGCACAAGCACAGCAGCAGTGAATATTTATATCAGGTTCAGCAGGGAGTTAGTACGGAAGGAAACAACACCCTCCTCCCTGATCCCAGACAAGGCCCAGGCAAGGAAATGGAGGAGACATCAAAGGTTTATCAAAGAGGACTGTGACGGTGAGGGTCAGGCCCAGTCCTAGCACAGACTCTATCCAAACTGGGACTAGGAAGTGAAAATACACCATCACCCATGTAGCCTGAACTCGTTACAACAGTAGCACAACCCCTCTCTGTGGAGGTTCAGAACAATAAATATATTCAAAGTTCTGAGTCTTAGATGCTACAGAGGGAAGCAGAATGTGGTCCTTGCCAGGTCTTGTCCAGCTTAGGAGGCCAAGGTAAAATACAAAGGCAGGATATGCTAAATGCTCTCACAGAGCCCAGGGAGAGCCAGAGATAGAGAGAAGGGATGAACTTATTCTGAGAATAGAAAGGATTTTGAAAAAAAGTAACCCAATAGGCCCATAAAGCAAAAACTACCTGCAGTGCCAACTCACTTCTCACACAGAGCTAGGAGGCCTAGCTAGAGGGGTCCAAGAGGGCCTGCCTCAGACCTGTGGCCACTTCATTCCACTGAGAAGTCTAGCCTTTGAGAAAACAGAGGTCCCCGGGTGAGCCTTTGCTACCCCCTGGTGGCCACAGGGTACACACCACTACCAGATCTGAATATTGGCATCCATTCACTTGGTCCTGCCTTAGATCACCTGGATGGCACTTACAGCCCTGGCATAGGTAACCTGGTAAGCACTCCAAGCCCCTGAACATTGGCTTCTTCTATGCTTTTCCTCCATCACACTTCAGCCAGAAACACAGACAAGGCTGAGGGCCCCCCCTCTGAGCCCAGAGTGGGATCCCAGAGCACGTGATCTGGGACACAGTGCTACCCTGCAGGTGGAACACATTTCTGAGGACAACCTCATCAGTTGTTTCTCTCTTGTCTCTACAGCTCTGCCCACAGCCTCTTTGAGGATGAGGGTATTTTGATGAGTCTGGGACTGAATGAGAAACAAAAAAGGGGGTGGGGGCAGTGGAACAAAAGGGATACATGTGGACCAGTAATGGACTTAGAGACTAGTCCTGCAGGCATCAGAGAGTGAACTAAACAAATTCTCAGTCCTATAGGGAAGGCTTTCTCTGAACATCTGACTGGACTTAACTGATCTCTAGAATAAGGCTGAATCTCTGCATGTCCCTTTGTTAAAGACATACTTTATTTAAAAATAAATAAATAAAAGGTGGGGAAATGTGCAAAGGAAAGAAGCTCACACAGTAGGACAAGTTAGCAGCTCAGGTCCAAGCTCTCACTTCCCACACACATGCGCATGTGTCACTGCGACTGTCCTGAGCTATGTGCTGCCCCTCCCCAAGCTGTCCTCCAGGCCTTTGCTGGGACCATCTCTCCCCTTCTCTCATGGCTTGTCTCACCTCTGCTCAACAGAGAAGGGAGTCATGCCAATGCTCACAAAGACAGCTCTAGCCAGGTGTGACTCAGACAGAAGTCAGAACCCCAGGCCTCCCACCCAGACTACCCTGATCTGTGGCAGGTCATGTATGTAGTATCTATTTGTGTGCTAGACAGGGCCCCTGGAGATTCAGCATGGCAAGCAGGCTGCTTCCCTAAATGTACCCATAGGCCTCTTCCCATTTCTCCAGGTCCCCAGCATACCTGCAGCAAGGCCAGATCAGCGTCCTGGGCTAGCTGCTGCAGGTTCTTCACAGCAGATGTGGTCTTGATGACCCGCACCAGAGCCGGAGAGCAGTCAATGGGAAGCTCACCCAGCAGAGACTTCTCATCACTGAGTAGCAGCAAGGCATGGTACGGGCTGAAGGACAGAAGCACATGTCAGCGGAACATGAGGGGCCATAGACCCTGGACCACCAGGTAAGTGCCTGGAACACCAAGGCATGGTCAGAGTTCATAGGCACTGAACTGTGGGCAGGAGAGGCTGAGGGAGAAATCAGAGAAAACAGTGATGTGTCCAGGAGCTTTTACAAAATCTGCAAGGATTACTGCTGTCCTGGGGTGGGGGTGGGGATTAGAACAAAACTACTATGCCCAGCTCTCTACCTTATCTTTTGAGATAGGACCTCTCATTGAACCTGAAGCTTGCCAATTTGGCTAGAATGGTCAGCCACCAAGCCTTTGAGGAGATCTGCCTGTCTCTGCCACCTTATACTTGTGTACATACTCATGCACATACACATATAAATAAACAATATTGGGGCTGGAGAGATGGCTCAGAGGTTAAGAGCACTGACTGTTCTTCCAGAGGTCCTGAGTTCAGTTCCCAGCAACCACATGGTGGCTCACGGCCATCTGTAATGAGATCTGGTGCCCTCTTCTGGCCAGCAAGCATACATACAGACAGAACACTGTATACATAATAAATAAATATTTTAAAAAAAACAATATTATAAAGTAAAAAAGGGGGGCTGGAGAGATGGCTCAGCAGTTAAGAGCACTGGCTGCTCTTCCAAAGGACCTGGGTTCAATTCCCAGTACCCACATGGCAGCTCACAACTGTCCGTAACTCCAGTTCCAGGGCTCTGACACCTTCACATCAATGCATATAAAATAAATTTAAAAAAAAAGCTGCTGGATGGTGGCGCACACCTTTTTTAATCCTAGCACTCGGGAGGCAGAGGCAGGCGGATCTCTGTGAGTTAGAGGCCAACCTGGTCTACAAGAGCTAGTTCTAGGACAGGCTCCAATGCTACCGAGAAATCCTGTCTCAAAAAAAAAAAAAGCCAGTTGGTGGTGCACACCTTTAATCCCAGCACTCAGGAGGTAGAGGCAGGAGGATCTCTGTGAGTTTGAGTCCAGCCTACAAAGCGAGTTCCAGGACAGCCAGGGCTGTTACACAGAGAAACCCTGTCTCGAAAAACCAAAAAAAAAAGAATTCCAATACCTGGGAGGCAGAAGCAGGTGAATCTCTGTGAATTCAAGGCCAGCCTGGTCTACGTAGTAAGATTCAGTACAGCCAGGAAGACAGAGAGACCCTGTCTCATGAGGGGAGAAGTGTGTGTATGTGTGTGTGTGTGTGTGTGTGTGGGCACGCTTGTGAAAAGTTCAATCATTAGTACCACAAAAAAAGAAAGGGGGGATCTTTCTAAAACAGGAAAAACAAAACATCCACCAACTATGAATAGAACTACACAAATATGCACAGTGAGAAAGAAGGCCATTTGACTCCAGCACAGATGTGGGAGCGTGGGAGGACTGGGCAATGCGTGCTCTGCTTCTACCATTCCCGGTGCTGAGGAATCTTTCTCCATCTTTTTCTTCTTTGTAGTGCTCATGTTCCAGATTGTCCTTGCAGGAAATCAATTAATCTAAGAAGCTACCTGGGTTCCCATGATTTCGGACTGAAATGCTGACCATTACTGAGTGTATAGTACCATGAAGGCAATCTGCTAGAGTCCTAGTTTAGACCCATGCTGCCCTGCAGGCCTGGGCAAAGCCCTTGGCCAGTTCTACTCACCCAGACTATGCTGGGAGGGCCCAGAAAAAAAAAACTGGGATGGGTCATTTCTGGGCAGAACTGGATATAAAATCATGTGGTTTTACTAACAGCAAAGTCCTACCTACCAACTTCTGTGGCAGGAAGAAGGGAATTTCTGGAACAAAGTAACTAGTAAAGTCGCAGGCAGCAGCTACCAGGAAAGGCATGATGGGGTTGGCTCTCACCGGATCGCTTTCAGGCTCCGCTCAATAGCCTCTGGAGGGATCAGACTTGAAGCTGCATAGTGGATCTTGTGGGGCAGACAGAAGCTCACTTCCAGCCAGCTGTTAATGTGAAGCCGCACCACACCAGATGTGCAGAGGCTGTCAAGAGTGGCACTGTTAGTACAGCAGCCACCTGCCCATTCCCTAGAACAGCACCCTATTCACAGGCTAGAGGAAGACATAAGGGAGAGCTCAGGGGTAAGAGAGGATCTTTTCAGATCTCAGCATGCCTAAGTACATGTTAAGAATACACACACACACACACACACACACACACACACACACACACGAGCCCCCGTCTCTTCCTCCCTCCCTCTCCCTTCTTCCCTCCCTGGAATATAATCCAATAAGCCTGTCAGGACTAAAGGAAAGTGCTTCTGTCTCTCCTGGGAATTCAATGTAGCAGAGCCATTGGCTGCCTGCCTGGGCCCATGGCATACAGACACCTGGCATCCACAGCCCATCCTCTCGGAGATGACCCAGGCACAGGTGGGCAGTTGGACAAGAAAGGACCTATCTCCAAGGAGAAGAGATGGGTAGAGGAGGGGAGCTGCCAAGTTCCACAGAACATTAATGGTAAGAAGCACAAAGCACCTGCCTCCATGACCCTTGCTGGTGGTGGGAGTGAAGCAGGTTAGAGGAGAAACAAGGGACCATGCAGCCCCAGCATATACCACGGCAAACCTTTACTCCACATCCTCAGTGACTGACACATATGTGCAGGTCAAACATGGCAGCACTGTCCCTAGCTCAAACCATCAATAAATCCTATGTACTCTACGTGCAAAGACATTCAAAATCCAGACCTCTCCAATAACACCAGACCAGAGCTGCCCGGACAACCAGCACCCAGTCCACTTTCCTCACAGGTTCTACCTGGGTAGTACCATCCAAGGTCTTCCAACATAGAGGACCTGTGTCCTGTACACACTTCCTGTTCTCATTTCCTGCCCCATCACTCAAGTCTAGCCACTCTCAGGACCCTGGCACTCGCGGCTCTCTCATGACTTCAGTCTCAACTGAAGCCACTTTCTCCATGAGGCACTCCCTGGTCCCACCTTCACTCTGAGCCCTCGCCCTGCACCCATGTGCTCATGGCCTGTCTGCTACCTAATGCTGTCCTGACCAACGACACCCTATACATACAAAGCACAGCACTCATGAGTAGAGGAGGGGGAATGGTCTTCAGGAGAACTGTCTGCCCAGAAAGCCCTTGCTGAGAACAGGCTCCACTATGGACATGTGGAAGAACCACACACACAGAGGAGGAACGGGTTGTGCAAAGGGGGAGACCCGCCCCATGGCTCAGCCACACAGTCCCTGTGTTAAGCGCCAACAGCTCGTGCTTATTAAACAGAATCTGTTCAGGTCTATATGCTATGTGGGCAAGAAGCATGAGAGCACATTCTGCAGTTAGCTGAAAGACATAAAGGAAGAAAAGCAACTGCTTAGGAAAGTCCCTGTGACTTTATTTATTCTGCATGAGAAAGCTGTTTCTGGTCATCTGCCCCAACCCAGTCAAGCTCAGAGCAAACCAGGCAGGTAGCCTCCTTCACCCAATGTAGGAAATAGAACCTAAAGCTTCATGGTAACTTCAGTTCTCAAACAAGCATACAGGATACATCACTTGGTTTTCAAACTGCCAATTTCTATAGCACCTTCCCCCCATCTTGTTTTCTCTGCTGCCTCCTACCCAGAAGAGCAGCCAAGAAATACTTTCCCATCACCACCCACCCTGCTGCTATTCTCAGCGCCCAGTATGGGAATGGTCAAGCCTAGAGCAGGCCAGCAGCTCAAGGAGGTGTGGCAAGAGTTCTTCCTGCCTAGGTCAAAGGTGTAAATGTTGGGTACTGTGGGAGAAACAAGGTCCTTGCTTCAGGCCCGAGAAAACACACTTTTCTCCCCACTCCCAATTCTTTTCCTGAGACAGGGTCTCTGTATGTAGCCCTGACTGTCCCAGGTCTCAATATGCAGGCTGGCTTCAAACTCACAGACTCTGCCTGCCTGCCTTCCAAGAGCTGAGGGTAAAGATGTGTGTGTCGCCATGCCCATGCCTTATTTTGAGAAAGGATTTTGCTGTGTAACCCCGAGCTGACCTCAAATATGTGTTCCTCCTGCCTCTACCTCCAAAGTGCCGAGATTCTCAGCATGTATCACAATATAGCTGCCGAGGACTATTATAGCCTCTTCCCTGAAGCCTCCAGCAATAAACCAAGAGCCTTAAGTTTCTGAATTTCTCCAGGAACTCTAGCCAACAGTTTCAAAAGCAAACTAGGTATTTTCTCCTTCAAGCAGGGACTAAGCACGAGGAAAGGAAACATGGAAGAACATTTCTGTGAGCCCTCACTCCCCCGGATCCCTGCAGCACTGACTGTTCAATGCAAAGCAGGCCATGGCTCCCAAACTTCTATGTGTGCTTCTCCCAGAGCCTCAGCACCTCTGAGGAAGGGTGGAGGATGGGCAACTGTGGTTCACATTCCCTCAGGGAGAAACAAACTAGATGGCTTAATGAGTGTCAAGATATGAGTCAAAGACCCAGGCTCTCTGAGGAACTCAATATTCTTGGTCTCTTCTAGAAATGGGCCCTGACCAAAGCATGTCTGAGTGCATGGAAAGCTCACAACCAACCTTGAGAAACCACCTAAGGAAACACTGCATTGTGATAAGATCTCGGCATCCACACACAGATGGAAAAAGAAGGGCAAGAGGGGAGAAGGTTAGAGTACGCTGCATGGAGTCACGCCCATGCAAACACTAGCCTGCCTCCTCCAATTAGCTTAACTCATGGTCACAAAGGGAAGAAATAATAGGTCCTATTTTTGAACTCTCTTATTTAGGGGATAGCACAGGGTAGCTGTTGGAACAACATGGAATCAGAATTAAATGCCAAGACTCCTATCATTTCAAATACAAATGATTCTGCTCCACCAAGGACCTCAGTGGTGCTGTAACAACCATCTGGTAGGTGCAACTCTAAGTACTGTTTCAGGTTCCTGGAGTACAGCAAGAAAGGAAACAAATTACAGCCTTGCACTTGGGAGAATCTCTGGCTGGCACTAAGAAAGACAACCTTCAGCAAGTTGTATAAACCACAGAGTTACAGAAAAAGGCGCATCAGAGACTTGTGTATAGGCCAGGCTTAAATGCTAGCTGTGGGCATGAGGGAAACCAGAGACACATTAAGGCCTTCATAATACCTTCACAGCTCAGGAGTCTCTGCCATCCTCATGACAGATGACTTTGGATCCCCAGCCTGTGACTTTCCCTCTGAATACTTTGCGCTGAGCTGGAGCCTCTTTACAAACTAACCGAGCTCTGTGGGGCAGAGACACTGAGCGCTGCCATTAGGAGTCCCCCGAGGACCAGATGCACTCCTAGACAAACCGCTGGAGTACACTGGAGGACAGGGAACATCAGAAATGCCCAACTTTAGCCTGTAGCTCTAGAGAAAGGCAGGTGAATCTTTCACAGTAAAAGGGAAAACCAGGGAACACACTAGCATCTGTGAAGAAGGGAAGAAACAGGACTGTCCCTACTTCTATAATCTGCAATTCAAGACAAAACCAGGGTCTACACCAGAAAAGTTTCCTGCTAAGCTTGTGTTTCTTTTTGCAGGTGTTTAATTATTTAGTCTGAAAACACTCTGCAGACAAACACTATCCCCAAGCTTATCCAGCCTTCACAGCAGAAGAGCCCAGCCCTTCCTGTAACAAGAGATAATGCTTCTGCCGGAGCCCTGCATCTGCACACCATGACTGTGCAGAGCACCAGGACCCTGTGGTCCACACCCAAGATGCGCCCTGTGCAAGCTTATCTCACTCCTCACTCCTCAACTCCTACCTTTGGCTAAGAACCAAAGGTCACTTTTTGACTCAGGTCAGCTCATCCTCTTCCTCCTTTGAGACTCTGTCATGTGTGCTGTGTCCTCTGACCCACACAGCAGCAGTCAATCTTCCTGCACATGTGGTAGGATGCTGCACAAACCAGGAGACATGGGTAGGCTTCAAAAGTCCTTGAGACTTCAAATGAAACTTTACATATAGGTACACTCTCATGAAATGAAGACCTTGACTCTCAGAATATCGGAGGCATACACAGGCTTGCGCTTGCTCTTGAGCAGTGCCTGGCCAGGCCTAAGACAGAATTCCCAAGAGCTAAGCCGCCCAGACTCTACCACAGTCCGTTAACTCAGAGAATTACTCAACAGAACACTTCTTCACACCCCAAGGGATTTAAATCATCACTTCTCCTGCCATTACAAATTCCTTTAACTCTCCGTGGATGATGAGCTAGGCAAAGGGTTATGTACAGAAAGTGAAGGGACACCCCTGCCCTATTGAGGGATGGAAGCCAGGGGTCACATGGGCTCGTGAGTTCCGTAAGGAGACAGGTAATGGGACAGTCAGGGTAACCTCCTAAGAGGTTCCTACTTCCAGTCTATACTCACAGACACATAGGGACCCTGGCTTTGGATAGTAAATCCAGAACAATTCTGTTAAAAAGATGCTCTCAAAGCTCTACATCAATTAAGCCCACAGCTTCCTGTCCTTTAGGTCTTCTCGGAGAAGATCTTTCTCAGGAATCTGGCAGGAACCTGCTTTCAGGAGACAATTACCCAGCCAACGTACAGTCAGCCACAACTTTTCATTGCTGAGGGAACAGGACCTTGAGACCAACCACAGACCTAGTGAGATGAAGCTGAGGGAAAATCAAGCCAAGAGGGCTACTAGGCAATTACAGAGCTGTGCCAATACCAGATGGGTGGGAACAGAGGTCACACCTGCCACATCCTGCCAGGAAGTGTTGCTCTCAGCCTCCCCAAGGCAGCTTCTAGGACCCAGGATTGGCTGGTGTGGAAGTTCACCTGGAGAGTGAGACCTTGCGTACTAACAAACAGGTTATCTGGCTAGAAGAAGAATCTTGAGTAGCCTTTCTGGTGAGAAATTCCAAAAGCTCAAATTCCTGTGCTCCTCCAAATTGGTCCACTAGGTGGCGCTAGGAGGCATCAAGCCCTGAGCTGTGCCTGGTGGATGACAAAACTGTGTAAGGTCTTATTTCCTTCCAACTTTCCACCACAATCCCCGTCCACTCTCTTTTCTTTAGAAACCTAAGGTCCCTGGTTTTCCTTTTACTTTGTTTTTTAGATGCTATGTAGCCTAGCCTTGTCTACATAAATGAATTAGTTCCAGGCTAGTCAGGGCTACAGAAAAGAACCCAGTCCAACAAACAAAAGAGAAAAAGCTAGAGTCACACTCCTGTAATCCCAGCAGAAGGATCTGAAGTCTCAAACCAATTTAGACTACTTAGTGAGACTCTATCACTCACACACACACAATTAAGTATTTTGTTTACATTTTAATAGAGTATTTGGCCACCAATATAATCAAATCAACATGAGGTTTCCATTGTGTCCCCAATACTTGCTGACCCCATATAGTCAGTGTCTCAAACTCCAGCTTTCCCAGAGCCCAGATTATGACAGTCAACACCAGTTCTACCCACTGAACCTTGATTTCCTCATGTGTGAAGAGACTCACCTCATGTGAGACTCACCTCAATATAGATGGCAAAGAACTTGGTAGCAAGTTAAGCTCAATAAAATGTTTAATGGTTTAAAAAAAAACCTTTCAGGCTTCTGTGCATAACTTTGCACAATCTTCTGTTTTAAAAGGGGTCTGGAGTGATGTATCCCTGCCGAGTACACACTACTCAACAAAGGGGCTGACGCTTGAAAAATGGACACCAAGGTGACTTTTCTGAAGAGTGGCCACACAGCCGTCCCTTCCCTGCCCTCCCTCGTTCTACCTCAGCAGAGCTCCAGCACACACACCAGAGCATCGCCCAGCCTATGGCAGCTCTGTGGGATGTTTCAGCTCTGGAGGCTGGGGGAAGGAGACCCAGGAAGAGGAGATTAGACAAGCATAATCCTGTCTTACCTGTCGTAAGCTTCTTTGAGGTCCCTAGCCAGCTTACACTTGGGCAGGATGTGGTGGAACGGGGACTGAGGACCTTCATTTGCTACAAGAATCACAATAGGTAAGGATTTACCTGATTTTGTTTTTTTTGTTTGTTTGTTTGTTTGTTTTTACAAAGCAAATAAACATGCACAGGCCAGAACAGGAACTATCTTTAGAACAAATTCAACATTTCAACATTAACAAGTAATGTTAAAGCAATGTTAAACTAACATCAAGAAACCCCTTGCAGTAATAATAATAACAATAATAACAAATCAATGTATCCCTGATCCCTCTAAAATAAAAACAGACTCAGGTGATCTGTGAAATTATTTCTATATGAAATATCTGCATTTAAACTTGTCACTGGCCTACACAGCCTTGCAGCCACAGGAGCCTGCCATGGAAGGAGTGTCTCTTGATTCATCAGACCCCACCTTCTGCTGTAGTGACCGGTATTCCCATGCCATATCCCACTCCTCTTCCCACACTTGTATGCTAGTGAGATTTGTTTTTATGACTGAAATATCTTTTATTAATCTTCATGAATCACTAATAAAAATATGAACAATTAAGATCTTTCTTTTGTTGTTGCTGTTTTGAGACAAGGTTTCTCTGTGTAGCCTTGGCTGTCCTGAAACTTACTCAGTAGACCAGGCTGGCCTCCAAGTCACAGAGATCTGCCTACCTCTGCCTCCCAAGTGCTAGGATTAAAGGCGTGTGTCACCATCACCTGGTGAATGTGTTTTTTTTTAACATTTAATTTTTTAACAGATTTTTGTTGTTGTTTGTAAGTTTGTCTGTTTCTTTCCTTTTGAGACAGGGTCTCATTATGTAGTCTTGGCTAGATTGGACTCACTATGTAGTCCAGGCTGGCCTCAAATTCACAGAGATCCACCTGCCTCTGTCTCCCCAAATTAAAGGTAAGTACCATCAAAGAAGAAGATGAAATAAAACTTCTGGATTGTTAACTATTATAATTAACTAAAATACAAAATATAAGTGGGGGCTGGAGAGGTGGCTCAGAGGTTAAGCGCACTGGCTGTTCTTCCAGAGGTCCTGAGTTCAATTCCCAGCAACCACATGGTAGCTCACAACCATCTGTAATGAGATCTGGAATCCTCTTCTGGCCTGCAGGTAGACATGCAGGAGAAACACTATATAGAATAAATCAATAAATCTTAAAGTATGTGTGTTTGTTGTCATTTTGTTTTGGGTCCTGGGGCTGGAACCCAGAGCCTCACATATACTAAACAACCACTCTATAACTACTTTCAGGCCCACAATACAAGTGTTTTTGTTTTTCAGACAGGATCTCTCTATCCCTGACTGGCCTGGAAATCAGAGATCCACTGGCCGTTGTCTCCCAAGTGCTAGTATTAAAGATATACACCACTTTAGCTGGGCAGTGGTGGTGCACACCTTTAAAGGCAGGTGGATTTCATTCTTTCTTCTGTAGCTGCTAACCTTATCGAAAGGAGGCCAAGGTCGTTACCAGTTTCTCTCCTGTATTTGATCTTTTGGGCACAGCAAACATTACCATGTCTATCAGCAAAGACTATTTCTTATAATTGGTTAGGAGATATAGTTAGATTCTTCTTCAATTTAACAGCCAAAAATATGGAAATCACCCATTTTACCAGCTGATGATCTTAATAACCCCTTCCTGAGTTTCCCAACCCAGGGCAAATTTGTCTAGCAGAACCAATGCCAGGCAGAGATTCACAGCAGTGGGGGGGGGGGGAGTATTTCCTATAGATTTCAATTCAGACCCATCCACTCAGGGAAGTAGATCCATATGCAAATGCCTGGAAGAGCCTTCCTGTGCCCCTGGTCATGACCAGCTCAGTGTGAAGATGCTGTAACTTCTCTGACCAGTTTCTGCTTACCAGATGTTGTAAGAACTTCCTCTCCAGTGTCCAGTTTACCAAAAGCCAAAGCTTTGGTTAGCTTCTGACTGTTCTGTTGTGGTATGGGAGAGGTAGAAAGATTATCTGTTCTTAGTCCACAAAGAGAACTGGCATGTGCTCAAACCTGCAATCAGGCAGCAAGCCCGCCTTTTCTACATAGAGGATCTCTTCAATAGTGTCCCTGAAACTAGAGAACCAATTAGTAGCACTATCTGCAACTACCTCGAATCAAAGCATAGTGACCAATTGGTCCTCTAGAGATACGACACCAAGAAGTCATCCAGAGCAGACCCATGCTCACCAGGCAGCCGCACTTACCGTCAGCCATAGCAGATACCTCATCTTGAAGTGCAAGGATCAGCTTGGCCTCTCTAGTGAGGTACTGGCAGCGGCGCTCCTCATGCTGCAGGACAGTGGCAATGCGCCGGGACAAGTTATGTAGACAGTTTATCACTGATGGGTCAGCATTGGCCTGTGCGAGAGAGGCCAAACGCTCAAAATATGTATACAGAGACATATTATTTAAAAGGAGCTTATACACGTGCATAGCAAAAGTGCAGACCACAAAGAAGGTCCTCTCCATTTCCTCCACTAGGTTCCTCCTCATAGTAATTACTGTCCAGAATCCCTGTGCATGTCTACAGCCTACCTACACAAATGCTGGCTGACACCCCATCTTATTTTTATATCTCGGGAACAACTGTAGTGACTCTATGGGAGTCCTCTAAGGGGAACACATTCCTACTATGCTAGGACTATACAGAAAAGAAGGGACAGCTAAGGGCATGTTATGTGATCTGGGTCACAAGTCATCTGAGGAAGGACATCCAACTGAGCAGAGAAAGCTAGTCAAACACATAGAGCACTCAGAACAGAGGCTGCCCTGAGCAAAATCTTGGAGGTTTCTGTAATCGCTGCTGTGCACTGACCATTCAGGAACATGTCTGGCCTACAGTATACAGGAATTCATTCACAACAGGCTGTGTTGTTACAGAACATGTAATACAGAAGCATTATGCTGTTTTCTGAATATCTGTCAGGGGTGAGTTCTTCCTAGCAAAGAAGACCTAAGTTAACTAGAATACCAGTAGGCTCCAGGCCTAATCATCCTGCCTCCCCAACCCCATTTTGTATCCACACTGACTAGGTAAAAGTGGCATGCAAAAGTTCTCAGGTTAGAAGTGTCCCTCACCCCTCTGAAACCTATCAGAGACCACAGTCAACCAGCAGGTGTACACACCCAGACCAAGGGTGGAGCAGGCCACTGTGGGATCTATGGAGATGCTTGAAGGAGCAGATAACTGAGCCAAGCATGACTCAGCGCTTCTAGAGGCCACCAGGACTGCTGAGTAATACTTTGGGGTACAGGGTTAGAAGGAAGAGGGACAAATGGCACTACTGATTAGGCCCTCTGATGCTGTTTTCCCATCCTGTGGATTTTCCAGATGACTCTGTGCTTGCTACTTTTAAGTAAAAATCTTACCCAGACCACACTTTGTTCACCTGGAGTGGAGATTTTCCATACTGTCAGTAAGTCCCATCTTCACAAAGAGAACTAGCACATGGGCAGGCTTGCAATCAGCTGTCTGCCCTGACTCTGCAGGCCTACAGCATCCCCTGACCATGTCCTAAACAGGATGATTTACAGGATATATGCAACTGCCTCAAAATAAAACACACATTTAGGAGAGTCTGAGTGAAAACATTTCCACTAGAAAAGCAGGGAGAAAATAATCTTGGACACAGAAAACTCCTTTGAGGAAGGACTGAAGAGGAGCCACTAGCTGAGGCACAAAAGCATCCCTACATCAGCTGCTGGGGACCAACTGTTCATATTTCGCCTTTGTGCAAAGTGACACAAAGTAAAATTTTTCTTCTCCCCACCCATGAAAGGCTCAGTGACATGCACTGAAGGGATATCTGGTATGTCTTGTTTGCACAGGCTAACCCTGAGCAAGCTGCCTTCAGCTCCAAGCTAAGCAGGGACATGCAGAGAAAGCAGCCACCCAGAACATGCCAGACTTTAATACGAATGCTTATAAAGTACATACTTGGAGCTAGGCGTGATAGCTTATCCCTATAATGCTAGCACTTGGAAGGCAGAGATAGAAGGATCAAGTTTAAGTCTACATATGAAGTTTGAGGCCAGCCTAGTCTATATGACACCACCATCTCAAACAAAGAAACAAAGTGAACTTTCACAGTACAGAACAGGAAGCAGCACCAAGTGACTGTGTCATCATCCATGGGGCCTCCTGCCAAAAGCTTGTACCCAAATGAAAGACCTCCATAGTCACTTCCAGTCTGCAGGGTGCAGAAAGTTGGGAAGCAGGTCTCACAGTCTACTCAATGAGACAAATCTGGATGTGGAAAATGTGATGGGACAATGGGACAGCCAAGACTAGAAGAGAAAGATACACCACTCACACTGAGTGGAGTCTGCATCATGGCTCACACAGGCCAACTGGAAAACTATGTTCTCAATCAGAAATTTTTAATAGACCAGGTACTAGTTAATACCAACTTACTGTGGTGAATTCTTATCAAGTTGAAAAGTATATTACGGCATAAAATAAGAACCATTACTTTAGCCTTTAATCCCAGTACTTGGGAGGCAGAGACAAGTGGATCTCTGTGAATTCAAGGCCAGCCTGGTTTATGGAGTGAGTTCCAGGACAAGCTCTACAGTGAAACCCTGTCTCGAAAAAACAAAACAAAAACAAAAAAAATTTTTTTTACTTTATAGATAAGTCTTGTAGTAAAGGAATAATGAATAAAAATACAACAGACACGAGGCACATGCCTGTGATCCTAGCAGAAGGATCAGTTCTAGGTCATCCTCAGATATATAAGAACTTATGACCAGCCTGAGATATTTAAGACCGTGTCTAAAAAGAAACAAAAGGTAGGCGTGGTGGCACACACCTTTAATCCCAGGACTCAGGAGGCAGAGGCAGGCAGATCTCTGAGTTTAAGGCTAGCCTGGTCTACAGAGGGAGTTCTAAGACAGCAGGGATACAGAGAGAAACCCTGTCTCAAAATAAAAATGGGTGTGGGAGGGGCAGGACAGAAAGATGGCTCAGTAGTTAAGAGCACTTATGCTCCTCCAGAGGTCCTGAGTTCTGTTCCTAGCACACATCAAGGGGTTCACAACTGCTTGTAACCTCAGCTCCAAAGGATCTGACGCCTCTTCTGGCCTTGGAAAGATACCCATTTACTCATGCACACATAAAAATAAATCTAAAACAAAAGAATGGACATGAGGCCCAAGACTTGCTTTAAGATATAGAGGCAAGGGGCTGGAGAGATGGCTCAGTGGTTAAGAGCATCGGCTGCTCTTCCCAGCACATGGCAGCTCACAACTGTAACTGCAGTTCCAAGGGATTCAATACCCTCACACAGACTTACACACAGGCAAAACACCAATAAAATAAAAATAAATAAATCTTTTTAAAAAAAGATACAGAGGCATAAAAACTGCCATTGGACTCCTCATGGGTTTCCTGTTAAGAGGGATAAAATATGAATCTAGATAGCAGTGATAAATAAGATGAATAATACATAGTGAATTATATTATAAATGTATTAGGTATAATTAAATTCTTTGTTTTATTTATGATTTGATGTTTTAGGTCAGGATCTTACTATACAGTAGAAGACATGTGCAGTTATGCCTGACATAAATTGTCTATTTTTTTATTTTTTTAGGGTAATAGGGCACTAAAACAGGGCTTCATTAGCCCACGCTGGTCTCAAGATCCCTGTGACCTTGAATTCCTACTTGTCCTATTGCAGCTCCCCAGGTGCTGGGCCATAGAAATGCACTGCCTGCTCTAGCGAGTGCTCATCTGTCTTTTTCAGACAGATCGCACTCTGGGGCATAGGCTGGCCTCAAATCTGTAGCAATTCTCCTGCATCAGCTTCCCAAGCGCTGGTGTGTGACACCACATACTTTTTGTTTGTTTGTTAAACTTATTTAATTTTGTTTTATGTGCAATGGTGTTTTGTCTGTGTGAGAGTGTTGATCTCCTGGAACTGTAGTTACAAAGAATTGTGAGCTGCCATCTTGGCACTGGGAATTGAACCCGGGTCCTCTGGAAGAGCAGCCAGTGCTCTTGACTGCTGAGCCTTCTCTCCAACCCCCACCACACACTTTAAAATGGGAAACATTCAGGACTAGAGATGTAGCTTAATAACAGAGTGCTTGTCCAACATGCATGAGGCCCTGGGTTTCATCACTACTGTTAATAAAGTAAATTTTGTTATAAGTATGTATTTTACAAAAATGTTCAAGGAGGAAGAGGAAGGAAACACAATGAGCTATGCTCCACCTGCACACCAAAAGGGTAAGTGCCATGCCCATGGTCTGAGCTCTGGGCCAATGAAAAACTCACTGGAAACTGGCTCTTCTCCCTCAGGTCCCCTTCCTGATCTAAACACTCATGTAAACACTCACCCTCAGTGCAAACACCACATTAAAAAGAATCATGGTGGGTGCTTCCCGCTTTGGAGATGGGTCTGTTTTGGAGACCTGTAAAAGAGCATAATTCTAATAAATCCAAAGACACAGCATCCAGTCTGTCTATTTGTTTGTGACAGGCTATCACTATGAACTGCAGGGTGACGCTAGAATTACTATGGATCCAAGCTGGTCTTGAACTCACAGTGATTCTACCTCAGGCTCTCTAACTAGAATTGGAGGGATGAGACACCACAGCCAGCAGACAGCTTTAACTTTCTACAGGAAGTTGTTAGATCTTTCTACTCCATGCATGGAGAAAGGCTCCAGAGCATGGTAAAAATGAGAGAAACACATCCCCAGGGTCTTTGAGGTGTTGGTGCTTTTGCTCAAACAGTCATCCATACAAACCGATGAATCTCATGTGTGGAAGGAGCAGAATGGCTGGGGCTGGAGTTCCATGACTGAAGGAATCAACTGACAATGCCCAAAAAAGACAGGACAGAAAGGGATGTAAGTGGCTGGAGAACCCAGACCATGCCTCTATTGCCATGGCAAGTACTCAGGACATTTAGAGATAGGACAGTGCTCAGCAGCCCTGATGAAAGGAGGCAGCCAGTCTTGCTACAGAACCAAGTCGCTCTCTCTTCCCATTCTGGCATCCAGGCAGCTCCAGTCACAAACACCAAGGCATCCAAAGGTACCACCCTGAGCTCTTCGAGCCCAATTAAAAGTGCTGCCTAGAGAGGGAGTTAGAACTCTCCCTATAACATCCAGGAACCGTACCCATCCCTGCCAGTCACCGCAATTCTACAGGAAGTGACCATCAACTCTCCTCACCCATAGACAGGAACCCAAGCTCGGTCATTAAATACCATTGTAAGGATGGAAGGTATTATCAAAGGGGCAAGATACTTCCTGTTGCCCTCAGAAGCGCCTCACATTGATAAAGCTGGCAAGTCACAGCACAGCCTTTTATACATTCCTGTATGAATCTAGGTGATGCTGCTATGGATCCTGCCTGGATTTAGAGCTGACTGGCTCTAGTGGACAGGCTCCTTTGGGTAACAGCACATTCCACCTTGCTAACACTCCTCAGTACCCAAATACTCGTTTATCAGGAAACAAATATAAAAAGGTCAGCATGACAATACATACTAAAATATGTTGGCTATTAAAATATCATTTAACGGAAGTGTTTGCACCATTTTTTAGAAGGTGCAGGAATTAGACAATTGTTAGTTAACTCATTCTATTGCCTTTTCTGGACACAAATACCCTATACATGAGGAAAGGCCACAGAGGAGGCACAGAATGTAGTCAGCAAAAGCTAGTGACAGAAAGCTGGGGATGGAGCCCAGTGGGCCAACAACCACATAGCACATTGAAAGGCTTGAGTTCCATTCATCACTAAATGAAAAAAAAAAAAAAAAACAAACAAACAACTAGTGGCTGGGACTATAGACAGGGCAAGTACCCCCTGTCATTCTCTACTGGATTCCCAGGACCTACAAAGGTACACAATTCATGGCAAGCAGCTGATCAGGTCTGCTGCCCCAAGGGCACATTCACCAGCATTGATGTCAGCACAGTCCTGACCCTCAGAGCCAGAAGCCAGCCCCTCCCACCCTAGAAAGATCCTACCTGCTGAGGGCCATACCTGCCCCAGACCATGCTGCAGCAGTGTCGGGTGCCCAACAAACCGTACGTTATCAATCTTCAGTTCAAATTTTTGGCCACACATTTCAGACTTGGTTGCCAAAATTGTTGCCAGAATAACATCCGAGAACCTTAAAATTTTAAAAAGGTAGATGGAGATGCATTAATGAAAATCAGAGCACCATGCCCAGGTACCCGAAAGGGGGGAGTGGCTCAGGAAATGACAGTTCTGTGGAGCTACTTGTCCCCAGTGGGCGGCATTTCATCAGTGGCTCTCTTGCAGCAATCCCAAGGTTAGGGACGTGAAGTCACCAGAATTACAGGTGGAAGGCAGGAGAAGCACAGGCTGAAGGCACATGCTGTCGTTTATTGCATGCTGTATGAATTAGAAGAGAAACAGCTGTGGTTTGCATTGAAAAGATCGGCTGGGGCTGGCACTGCCTCAGGAGCCACTGATTGAGGCTCACAGGCAGAAGGGCCTCTCCTGACTGTACTTTGGTTTGTAGAACTGTGCTTCTCAATCTCCGTGACCCCAAACCATCCATAACAGGGCCACAAAAAGGACCAGAGGACAGAGCTCAAAGACGCATGCAGTATGCTAACTACATCCCTTTCAGCATAGCTGCTCAGCCCTTCCCTTATCCTGAATACTTAAACTTCTCAGTTCTTCTTGAGGGAATGTGGTACAAGGCATGCAGACACACTGTGTTACAGGAACACGGGATGCACAGAAACAAGTGTCATGGGGAAGTGGGAATGGCTGGGGTGTGAGAGCTCACCCCTTCCAATACGCATCTGTACATCTGTGCCCCTGCTGGCAAACCTAGTCCTCCATGTCTGGGGGATCTGGATAAGTGAGTTGCCTAAAGGGAGGAGAGCACTGGGGCCTGGTGTTGCCGCTTATCTCCGAGACCAGGGACTGAGGGCCTCCAATGTTGATACACGAGCACTGTTTCTGATCTGGCCCTGAGGAGAGCAAGCACCTACACTCACCTATCTACTAAGGAACGCTTTCTACTATCTAGGAGGGTAGTTTGGGAAAGACAGCTATCTCTAGCACTATCAAGACCATAGTCTGCCCCGGCAGGGAGACCCTTCAGTCCTGAAAGAGTCTATCTGGGATGACATTCCACTGTGGGACCTTAGTCTTGTTTCTTCTAGAGACATTCTCAGTTGTAGGAAGGGAGACAGACTGACATCACAACTCCTCCATTGCAAGATGGAAAAGGAAGGTCAGCTTTAAGCAGCTCATGTGTCTCAATTCCAAAGCAGCAAATGACGCTGAGATAGGACGTATCTAGGAGGGGCATCCATTCCCGGCCACTCTACACAGAGCAGGGCCATAAGAAGAGTGACCTGGAGGCAATCCGGAATAGAAGCCTGGCCATGGCCAACATGTGAGACAAGCAGCTGTGCATTTCCCCCACTTCTACCCATGCCAGCAAAAAAAGTCCAGGCTGCTGTGGCCTGGAGGGCTTGCACTGGCTCCCTGCAGAATGAGCAGGACCCTCCAGCTGCTACAGGGCTTCTGGGCCCCCATATACAGCAGACACAGACAGTTGGTCAGAAAGGGCTTCCCTGCCCTTTGCAATGCGGGTTTGGTCAAACCTTTCAGCACCAGTCTCAACACTGACATTCTGGACCCTGCAGGACCCATAGCCAAGTCCTTAGTTCCTGCTTTTTTGGAACATTAGTGGCTGGGTGAACAAACAGATATGGAAGACTCCAGCATCTCAGACCAGGGAGTCTACATAGCTCTCTCTGCCCTACTCCACCTGTTTGAAGAACACACCAGGATATTCAAACACTTCGGCTCTGATCCAGCCAACATTTCACGTCACATCTAAACAAGCAGCACCCGGCATTCTACCGTCCAATGACTTAGTACACAAAAGTAGCAAATGGGAGAATGACCTTAACTACTCCACAACAAAACTCCCTTCACAGTCAAAAACCTCCACTAAAAACCCTGCTGTCATCAAGAGCCACAGACATGCCTTAGCTCAGGCCATGGATTCCCAGAGGAAGCAGTGGTATCCCAGCTTCCATTCATTAATACCAACATCCAAATAAGCCCTTGAAGGAATCAAATCAAATCTTTCCCCAGTAAGAGGCACAGAGCTGTGTGTGCTTAAGTTAAGCCACAATGCCTTAAGGGCTATCATAGAAGTTCCTGCTTAGCTGACCTTTCTGTTCATCCAAGCAGGTCTAAGCTGCATGCTACCTCTTACCATTATACATTTATGATGAAAATCCACCTGCTTGGCTGTGGAATTCACACAGTGTTTGATGACATAATGTGCACAAAGATAAAGTCATCTTGAGGCCAGGAAAGGGGTACAATTTACACATAGCAAATTCCGAGGGACAAGGTTTACCGTTTCCAAAATTTACAAAAATCCTTTTGATGAAAACATAGTAAATGTAATATAAGACAATAAAACAGTTGCTACAAAAACGAAAAATTTCTAACTTGAACATCTAAGAAAAGCATATTTAGGAAGACATGACATTCCAGTTGAAAACAAGCCAGGATTCTGTTTTTAATAAATCATTCTGGAGTAGGGTTACCCAAAAACAGAGAGGGAGAAAGATGGGAGAGGATTCAACTCTACGTCCTCAACTTGCCTCTTTTTTTTTTTAATGTATATGACTGTTTCTTCCTGCATGTATGTATGTAACCAGTGTGTACCTGAGCCTATGGAGGCCAGATCAAGTCACTGGATCCCCTGAAACTGAAGTTACAGATAGTTGTGAGCTGCCATATGGGTGCTGGGGATTGAATCCAGGTCCTCTCAAGAGCAAGTGTTCTTAAGCACTGGACCTCTCCTCAGCCTCTCAGCCCACCTATCGATGGAAATTCACATACACTGTCTGTGCATCCACAGCCCACACAAGACGCCTGTTGGGGGGCAGGACAGTGCAGCCTGCAGAAGCTCCATATCGCCTTCATGGGGACATTTTTGTCACTACTTAGTTTCATCTAATCCTGAGTATCTAACTAAACACTCAAAATACTCAAATGCTGTTAATAGTATGTGTGTCTGTCTGTCTCCCTCCCTTCCTCTCCCTCTCAAAACTAAAGGCAAGAAGCAATGATCATGGCCCCTGCTGTGGCAGTAGAACAGGGAGATGAGAAACCCACACCTGTTGGCCCAACACCACAGGGCTACTAGCTCCTATTTGGGGAGGAGGCTTGCACAGTACACCTGGTCCAGAAGTCTCTCTGGTGCCAGCCAACCATGCTTTAGGTTCTCGGGGGATGTGAAATAGCTAACTAATTCTGGGTGGGAAAAGGGCAGAGGCTGTGGGAAAATCTGGGCTTTTGAGAGGCAGGGAGGGTTCCAAGCTAGGGCCTATGCACCTCGTTAGTCATTCTTCAACACTGGGAGAAATTAGGCAGTAAGCACAATTACAAGAAGAGAAGGCAGCCGGAATCAAGACAGAAAAAGGGAGGCGAGATCTTGGTCTTACCCTGCAACCAATTGCTCATCGGTTGGAGGACATGGCTTGCTGAAATGGGAACAGGACCATCAAGACCAAACAAAACATTGTTTCTTCAAAACCACCAAGTTATGTTACAAGGCTGTTTTATAAAAACAGTACTAAAGTCTAGCAGAAGCACCATTACAAAGTATCAGCTGAATTAAGCGACTTACCAGATGAGAAAGAAGACATACATACCCCAGATGAACACTTACGTGGGATTTTTCTCACTAAAGCTCAAATTCTCACAAACAAATCCAGGCCAGGAGAGAATGAGAGTCACTGTTCAGAACCCAGGACAACATCAGCAGGCTAGACCCTAGTGCCACAGACTCAACTGGACAGCTGGGGACAAGTATCTGATCTTTCTAAAAGACCAAATAAGATGCCCAGACAGAAAAGTCTTCCAAACTGGGGTGTCATGAGTATGGTCCAGCCCCAGTTCCTGAAACACTGTGGACAACTGCATATTGACCTCCCCGAGCCTCTACCCCAGCTGGTAAGGAGGTCACAGTAGAATCAAGCAAGCATGCTTTTGTCAGAAAACTGGGGGTTCTGTACTATCTGACCTGGTCTTTAGGAGTTTAATATTTCATGTTCCTATGAGGAACACTTTATTCTAGAACATGCTGTGTTCCAAGCAACCATGGAAAGCTACATAAGGGCCCTACCTGGACCACCCATTGTGGCTCCCAGTCCAGTCTGCTGGATGGCTAAACACCCACATAAGAGAAATGGATATCAAAGAAGCCCTTTCCTAGCAGTTTCAAACTTAAGTTCATCAGATTAGATAGCGCTGAGGGTGAGATGTCTAATAGACTTCACCCAGAATCCTAGCAGCTCAAGCCTCACTCAGCTTTATCGCCTAAAACTAGACAAGTCACAATGGGATATCCGACAGAACTTTTTACAGCAGCGATACATTCCAAGCATGCATCTATAATTTGCTAGCCACTGGATTCCTGAAGTGGGGGCAGGGGAATGACACAGGGGACAGGACGCTAGGAGCTGGACTCTTTTATTTTTCTTTAATTTTACAGTTGTTAGTTTATTGACTGATTGGTTTTGTTTACTTGTTTTGTTTTGAGACAGGGTCTCCCATATCCCAAATTAACCTCAAATCCACTATAAAGTCAAGGATGACCCTGACCTTCTGATCCACTTGCCTCTACCTCTTAAATTCTGGGATTACAGGAACTCACCACCAGGCCCAGTTTATGAAGTGTTGGGAATCCAGCCCCACTGGCCTGTGCCCATGATCCTGACTGAACAGCACAGTTCTGGTCCTTGGTTACAAAGGCAGACAGCCCCACTGGCTGTTGGCACCTGGAAAGCTGACTGCAGAAATATCCTGTAGGTCCGAAAAGGAGAGCACGTCTGGGAAGAGCCAGGGGACAGAGAATGGCTTTGCTGTAGCACTGCTTCAAAGGAAGCTAGAGAGTTGGGGGGGGATCTTGTGCCTGGCAGAGAACTGGACCCCAAAGGGAATTAATCTGCATCTTGTAATCATGGAGACAAGGACCAGCAGATACAATAAAGTTAAAATTACCAAATGAAGCAATTCTCAAGTTCATTGAAGAATTCAGACAAAAGCCCTCTCCTCCCATGGTTGTCTCTTTTGAATCATGCTAAATACTCATATGAGTCCCTAGAAAACATCTTTGTAAATCTCTGAAATTCACTTGCAGGAATTAGATGCTGTTGTCATCCCTAGGAAATTTCGCTATGAAAGACTGTTCAAAGCCAGGCATAGTAGCATGCTGTCCTTTGATGCCAGTATCTAGAGGCAGAAGCAGAGGGAGATGGATCTCTGTGAGTTCGAGACCAGCCTGGTCTACAGAGATTACAAGACAGTCAGGGTTACACAGAGACACCCTGTCTTGAAAAACCCAGGAAAAAAAAGAAAAAAAAAAAAGCAAATGAGGCTGTTGAAAGTCTCCTCTCCAGTGAACTTGGGGGGAGGTGACCGTGAGGACAGTCCTGCTCCACAGCAGTCTGCAGCACCCATGAAAAACAAGACACACCTACGCAGTATGCGGGGGCAAAAGGGTTTTGTTTGGTTTTGTTGTTTTGAGATAGTCTCATGTAGGCCAGGGTAGCCTCAAAACTTACTAAGGATTTGAGGCTGGCCTTAAATTCTTGATCCTCCTTGCATCCACCTTTCCAAGTGCTATTGTCCCAGGCAGGTATCACCACAGTCAGCTGAAGCAAAAGCTGTGTGCCTATGACACATTTATTTCAAACCACCATCCTTAAGCAGGGGAATCCCATAGGCCTGTCTATCAAAAAATGTCCTCTAAAAAAAACCAGCAATTTTCTATCCCCAGCCACCCCAACCTGCCCCCCACACACACTCCTACCATGAGCACAGGAGAGAATACAAACCACACTTGGGGCGCTGAAGATGTGGCTCATAGATCAACACTGTTCCTGTGTTGTTCATGCCTAGCACGCATGAAGCCCTGGGTCTCATCCCCAGAACCACATTAAACTAAATATAGTGTCACATGCCTGTCACCCCAGGTGAGTTGTCACTCTGCTTGAGAGGTAGGAGCAGGAAGATCAGAAGTTCAAGATCATCCTCAGCTACACAGAGGTCAGCGTGAAACCTTGCCACAAAAACTAAAAGTGAGATAAAATAAGATAAAAACAAAAAAACAAAAGCCCACATACTTTGGGTACTGCAATCACAGAGGTGAATATGGTGCCTCCTCAAAGATCTGACAGAAAACAGCACTGACTCACTACATCCCAAAGACCCAGCGTGGGAGTCTCAGCTATGTTTTCCTGGGACAGCGGAAGCCCTATCCTTTTCCCCACAGGCCTTGTCTATGTTTCAGGGGATCCAGGGCAAGTAAGTCACAATCTTCTCTGTTTCCTAGACTTATGTTCTCTCTTACTAACCTTTAAAGTGCACCTAAGAAAGCAGAAAGGGCCTGTAGAGGTGACCCAGTGGTTAAGAGCACTGGCTGCTCTTCCTGAGGACCCATGTTCAATTTCCAGCACCCACATGGCTGCTCACAACTGTAGTAACTCCAGTTCCAGGGGATTTGACACTCTCACACAAACATTCATGCAAGCAAAACATCTTTAATAAAATAAATTAAAAAAAAAGAAAGGCAAAGCGGTTGCTCACAATGTAGACCTGACAGTCCTCCTAGACACAGAGAAAGAGCGAACACAGGGGGAAGGACTGGCCTTTCCCCCAGGCCTGAAGGAGTGTCAGTCATGGCAGCCCCAGCTGCCACTGTCACCTGAGAGAGAATGTGCCCAGGCTAAGGAATCAGGCTGAGGACTGCGAAGGGATCTGCCTTCCTCTCAGAGCCTCTCACTGGAAACAATGTAACCGGTGGACATACCTCGTCCATCTTCTGACTCCTTTACCAGCCACAGTTGCCACTGGGCTGAAATCTATAAGTCAGAGACGGGCAGTACAACCCGCTTTTCACTAACTAAAAGCATTCACTACATGGAAGAGAAGGGCACCAGATTTCTCAGAGGGACAAACATCTGGGTCAACAGGAGGGTGGAGCTCTGGCCAGGCCTGCTGCCCAGAATGACTGGTGAGCCCTTACCTGGAGTCACCATCCTGGTCATCAACATGTTCACCCGTATTGTTGACAGCGTATCTGCTGCGTGGTTTATCTGAGTGAGGGCAAAAGAAGAAAGGCTAAGAAAGTAGGATCTCTCCACACACAGGATTGTGGGGGCTATTAAAACCCACGGCTTCCGCTGTCTACACAATTATTATTCAGCTACAAAGAGGAACAAACTCATACATCCTGAAAATAGTAGGTTGAATGAAATAAGTCTGATACACAATGCCAAACATTACTTAATATGAAAATTCTATAATAAGCAAATTCACAGGGATACAAAGGCAACTGGACATTAGCAAGGGCTGGGAACAAGGGAAAATGAATTATTACTTATCATTACAGAACTTCACTTTAAATCATGAAACCTTTGGAAATGCATAATGGTGACAGTTTCACAATGGAAATAATGCAGTTAATGCTACTGAAATCACGTACTTAACGTGGTTTAAATGGCAAGACTTGCGTTATAATAAAAAACGTTCAGGGTTAGGGATGCATGTAGCTCAGTGATAGCGCTTAATCAGCATGCGAGACCAGGGCCCATCTGGAGAACAGAAAAGATTGTAAGAAGGTTTCCAAGAAGTGATGACAATGTGAGAAAATGGCTTTGCTGCTCTTTGGAGGAGGGAACTGAGACAGGATCTTACTATGCAGCCAGGGTCAGCCTCAATCTCTATACAGCTAAGGCTGGACTTGAACTCCTAAACTAGCTCCTAAATTTTGAATATTACAGTGTTGGGATTACAAATGTGGACTGTCATGCCCAGATATGGCCCTTAATTTTCTTACATAAAAATTTATATAAACATAATTATATGCATGGCAAATATACATTTAAACATCCTAAATGTGAAATAGTGATTAGATAGGAAAGAGAAAAGAATTTTTTTTGTTTTGGTTTTTCGAGACAGGGTTTCTCTGTAGCTGTTGGAATCTGTCCTAGAACTAGCTCAGGCTGGCCTCGAACTCACAGAGATCCGCCTGCTTCTGCCTCCTGAGTGCTGGGATTAAAGGTGTGCGCCACCACCACCCGGCAAGAAAAGAATTTTTAAAAGTACATACCATAGCCTTCATACGATACACATAAACAATTCTTTACTAGAACACTATGGTTTAAAAACTTGGTTTAAAACCCATATGAAAAATCAGGGGTGATGGTGCATGTGAGACATCTCTGTGGGCAGCGCCTGTTATGCTAGTGTGAAATGGCAACATTGTGTCCATAGCCTTGTGTTAGGGATGCAGACAGGTGAACTGCAGGGCTCCAGTCAAGCTAAGACATTAATCTCAAGATTCAGTGTGATCCTATTAAAAAAATAAACTAAGAAGGGATTGGGAAAGACATCCCAGTGTCAACCTCTGGCCTCTACAGATGCCAAAGTATGAACACATATGCACATACACACATGCTTATATATAAAAATAAATATATATAATTATATATAAATTAACATATATAATTATATATAAATTAAAAATAGGCAGGTGGAATGTGCCTTTCTTCTCTCTCTTTTCCCTTTCAAAACAAGGTTTCTCTATGTAACATCTCTTGCTGTCCTGGAATTTGCTTTTATAGACCAGGCTGGCCTCAAACTCACTTGAGACCCACCTGCCTCTGCCTCCTAAATCCTGGGATTAAAGGCCATGTGCCACCCTGTCTGGTTTGAATATGCCTTTTTCTGATATCAATTTTTAGGAGGCAGAGGCAGAAAGATCTACATGTGTCTGAAGCCAATCTGATTTACACACTGAGTTCTAGGCCAAACAAAATATAGAGAGACATTGTCTCAAAAATAAAAATAATAAAAACAACAAATAGAGGTTGGAGAAACAGTTTAGCTGTTAAGAGTACTGACTGCTTAGGACTTGTCTTAGATTCCGAGCACCTATAAAGTGGCTCACAACTGCCTGTAACTCCAGTTCTAAGTGATGAACTCTCTGGCCACATGGGCACTGCACACATGTGATACACAAGCACACGTGCAAGCAAAAAGTCCAGACACATAAAATAAAATAAATACACTTTTAAAATAAAAATAAATAAATAGAGCAGGGTGGCGGAGGTGAGTATCTTTAATCCCAGCACTCAGGAGGCAGAAGAAGGCAGATCTCTGAGCCTGAAGCCAGTCTAGTCTACAGAGGGAGGTCCAGGACAGTCAGGGCTATACAGAGAAATCACGTCTCAAAGAATATACATACATACATACATACATACATACATACATACATACATACACACACACACACACACATATATATATATACATGCACGCGCGCGCACGCGCACACACACACACACACACAGAAGAGAGAGGGACTCTAAAGAGAGTCATATGCTAGTAAGGGAGAGAAGAATGAACAGAATAGTTAGGATGCAGTCCAATGTTGAAACACTTACAAGGCCCTGGGTCCCATGTCACCACTGAAAGAAAAATTGGGTGAAAGAATAGAAAATATGCTATTTTTTTGTTTTGTTTTGTTTTTTTAAGTTTCTTTTTTTTCTTTTTTTAATATTTATTTGTTTATTTTGTGTACAATATTCTGTCTGTGTGTATACCTGCAAGGCAGAAGAGGGCATCAGACCCCATTACAGATGGTTGTGAGCCACCATGTGGTTGCTGGGAATTGAACTCAGGACCTTTGGAAGAGCAGGCAATGCTCTTAACCTCTGAGCCATCTCTCCAGCCCTTTGTTTTGTTTTTTTGAGACAGGGTTTCTCTGTGGTTTTGGAGCCTGTCCTGGAACTAGCGCTGCTGTAGACCAGGCTGGTCTCGAACTCACAGAGATCCACCTGCCTCTGCCTCCCGAGTGCTGGGATTAAAGGCGTGGGCCACCATCACCCGGCTATGCTATTTTATTGAATGGGAATATCCAACAGAAAGGTTTTTTTTTCCTACCCTATTGATCAGAACATTTCAAAAAGCTACTTCTGCTCTTTGATCTCAGAGGCAGAAGCAAGAGGTTGAAAGAACTGTCAGTGTTTGCAAACATTGTTACACAGATATTGTGCTGCCTTCTGAGGCCTACCACCTCAAGAAGTTAGCCTGTGGCGAACATGCCTACCCTACCAAGCACAAGTGAAAGTCTACTAGAGTGCCAAGACTAAGAGACAAAACATAGCCAGTACTGGGCAAACGAAGCAGCCAGGCATGGTGGCTTGTGCCTTTACTCCACCACTTGGAAGGCAGAGGTAGGCATATCTCTCTTGAGGCCAGCCTGATGTACATAGGGCTTCTGGGCCAGGAAGAAGTCCCTGTGTCAAAAAAAAAAAAAATACAAAGTATCTATTGCAGATTCAGGATTGAATTTTGTGAAGGAGCAACATCTCAACCCAAGAAGGGGCTACAGCAGCATCCCAGCATCCGGCTCACACTACGAATTTCAACTGTCTTATAATAATGTTCTAGCTCTAAAAACTAGGTGGGAAGAAAGCTGCCTCTACTTCCACCTCCAACAAAACACCAACCATTTGAAGGTAGAGGCTAACACAATTGATACTAAAGTTTCTGGTGAAAAATAGTCAAAATTTCCCAGGATAATACTGAAGCAGAAAAGGCAGTATCTGTAGTAAACAGAAAACAAAACGGTGACTCACATGTAAAGAGGCCATTAAAGAGAGAAGAAAGGAGCTAGGAATGTAGTCAGTTGGTACGGTACTTGCTTAGCATGTACGAAGCCCTAGGACCATATAAAAGCAAGTTATGGTACACGCCTGTAATCACAGCACTCCGGAGGTGAGAGCTAGAGGTCAACCTTAGATGCATGGAAGTCATCCTCAGCTACATGAGACTTTGTGTCAAAGAATAAAATGAAAAAATAAACACTGGAATTTAGCGTATGGTAGAGGTGAGGTGAATTACTCAATAAGATGATATAGCCATATAGAAAATTGAATTATGTTGGTTTTTTAGGACCAACATCCAAGGAAATCCAGCAACCATATGGCCACATTCTGGCCTGTCTCCGTTTTCCTTCCATAGGGATCTAGAGACAAGCAAGCAGCATACGCTTAACTCTCAGCAAGTGCCCAAACTCTAACAGCTCTTAGGAGCCTCTACCTTAGATCAAGATAAATAAATTTTAAGACCAAGAGTGGTGGTTCACACCTTTAATCCTAGCATTCAGGAGGCAGAAGTATGAAGATCTCTATAAATTCAAGACCAGTCTGGTCTAACTCCAGGCAGCCAGGGATACACAGCAGGACCCTATCTTAAGTAAGGAAATGAATTCATTTTAAAGCAAGACAACAAATGTCCTAAAGAAAAACTCAGGAGCGCTTTCTCCTATTAATAATCTTGAAATGCAAAAATAATTTTGTGGGCGGTGGTGTCGCACAGAATCCCAGCACTCGGAGGCAGAGGCAGGCAGATCTCTGTGAGTTCGAGGTCAGCCTGGTCTACAAGAGCTAGTTTCAGGATAGGCTCCAAAGCTAGAGAAACCCTGTCTCAAAAAAATCAAAATAATAATAATAATAATCTTGAAATGCTCACTTGCAAACCTAGCACCCTAGAACCAGAGAGGAAGGGTACACAGTAAATTCCAAGCCAGCCTGGAATACAGAGTTAAGCCCTGACTCGAAACAAACTGACATCACCCTCCTCAAGCAGAGCAGAAGGCCTTAGAGATAGCAAAACTCAGAAACCACAAGGGACTAGATTGAAAACCTGATCTGTAAAAATCAAAATTCTGGAAAACTACACTGAAAAAGTAAACTAGCTACTTACTGTGATTATTAAAAAAAAAATTCCTTTTTGTGTTTCTGAGACAGGATCTTACCTTGTAGCTCTGACTAATCAGAACCTCACTGTATAGACCAGGCTGGCCTGGGACTCAGAGATATCGGCCATCTCTGCATCTCCAGCGCTGAAATTCATGGCATGCACCACCACTCCTGATCCAAAAGTCTTACTTTGCTTTGTTTTGTTTTTCAAGACAAGGTTTCTCTATGTAGTCCTGGCTGTTCTGGAACTCACTCTGTAGCGGAGGCTGCCTCGAACTCATAGAGACCCGCCTGCCTCTGCCTCCCAAGTGCTGGAATTAAAGGCGTGCGCCACCACAGCCCAGCAAAATTCTTACTTTTACTCAAATATATAAATAACTCAAGTCTATAAGGAAAAACTAAGTATTCAAGAGGAAAATCAGGCACGGGATATGAATTCTCTGAAAAGTAAATTCAAATGGCTCTGAAAACAGGAAAACATGCTTGTTCTCAATAAGACAAATGCACAATAAAACTATCAGATACAGGAAGGCGGTGGAGGCGCACGCCTTTAATCCCAGCACTCATGAGATAGAGGTAGGAGGATCTCCGTGAGTTAGAAGTCAACCTGATCTACAGAGTGGGTTCCAGGGCAGTCAGAGCTAAGCCGAGAAACCCTGTCTCTAAAAACCAAACCAAAACCAACACTATCAGATGCAGCTGACTAAGAGACTGAAAATGAACCTGTTTAGGACATGACCATTAGCCCTCAGACTCAACCATGTGACTCGAGACTTGTTCGCACAGATATTCTACAGAAGAATAACATCCAGACGGACAAGCACAGTTTGCCGAGGCTTTGTTGATGATGGTGGTGGTGGTGGGCATGGTGTGCGACCTAAAAGCACAGGCGGAGGCCAGAACAAACTGTGAAGTGTCTTCCTTTATTGGCATCTTACTGCCTTGAGATGGGGTCTCTCACTGAATCAGAACATGACCCTGCAGGCTAGGCTGACTGGCCAGGGAGCTCTCGGGATCAGCCCATTTGTCAATGGGACATTACAGGCACCACAGCCATGCCAGCGTTTTTTATATCGATGCTGGGGGTTTAAAGTGACATCCTCATTCTTGGAGAGCAAGTGTTCTTACCCACTGAATCACCTGTCCAGCCTCCAAAAGACTGAAAAAACTGTAACGGAGGACCAGATGAACAATTCATAGACTGCTCATCTTGAGGAATCCGCTGCAGTCATTAAAGAACAAGGCCTCTACAAAGGTTGATCCTGTGTTCAAGATACAAAGTACAAATAAAAATGAAGAGTGTAGTTTCACTTCTACTTAGAACATACTGTGTGCTTATGCTTGTTTCCCAGAAGGTTCTGGAGAATGGTAAAGGTGGTACCCCCTTCAGGGGCTATGGGAGGGGGTCCTGAGAACATACCAACTTTGTTGTTGTAGTTTAGCACCTCTGTATCACATTACCAAGTTTTAAAAATAACATTCACCCAGAGGAAGCCTACATTGTCATACAGAGGTGCACTACCACTAAGGATGTGTTCAACAGATGGAAGCGGATTCAAGGCAGAGGACGCACAAAAACGAGCATCCTGAGATTTGCTGGGGGTTTCGGGGGGCGACGCAGTATTTCACTGTTCGGTGGGCTCACTTTTGGAATTTATGTGGGGGGGGGTGATTATCAAAACGGTGAGCGGTTGTCCCCGCAGTAGGTAAGGAGCAGAGCTCAAGGGCAACTTCAGACCTTACAATGATTTATATTTTTTATATATTAATTATTGTAAAATAATAAATTCGTGTTTGTGTGTAAAATCTTGTGTCTTTGTTTCTATTCGGAGAAGAGGTTGGCCTTGAACTCATGGCAATACTCCCGCCTCGGCCTCCTGAGAGCTGGGATTACACGCGTGCACCACGGCTAGCGCCTGCAATTCTTAGGTATTTATAAACTGTTTCATAGACTGGAGACTCCGGAGTCGTGCCGTGGCCCTTTTCCTCCTCCTCCTCGGCACGGGGCCCTGCCGTGCGGGCAGGGCGGGTGGCCGCCGGGCGCCACTTACTTGTCTGGGACGCGGGGTGCTCCTGGCTCCTCTGGAAGGGGTACCTGAAGAGCAGCTTATTGCCCCTGCTGCCCGAGCTCACCAGGATCACGCTGATGGGACTGGTGTTGTCCCCCATGCTGCGGGGGCCGGGGCGGGGGCCTGAGGGGAACACTGAGGGTAGGAGCCGGAGCCAGGAACCGGCCCCACACCTACACAGAGGAAGCCGGCGCCACAGCCGGGACCCAAACGCGCGCGCGTCCTCACTCTCGCGAGACTTCCCCGGTGCCGGGGAAAAGTGCCGGAGAACAGAGCCGGAGACGGCCTGCAGTCAGGGCCTCTGCGCAGGCGTAGACGGCCGGAAGCGCAGGCTTCTCTGAGCTGCTGGGGCTCTCCTAAGAAGTGTCTGTAGTTCATATGCTTGATTTGACCAGAGCGTATAAACTTAAAAGTACAAGAAGAAACCGGGACTATGCAGAGAAGCTGTCTCGAAAAACCAAACAAACAAATACATACATACAAATAAACAAACTATATATATATATAGAGAGAGAGAGGGGGGGGGTCGGGCTCATATCAATCTGGGTATCACATAACAAAGACGCATTCATTTATTTTATTTGTTTCCTAAAATTTATTAAGACAAAAAGTAGTCTTATTACATTTTTTTTCAACTATTACTCAGAGAGAAGATATCTGATTATTTGCCAGTGTCTGAGAATTGCGCTTACGTTTGCCCTTTGATGGTTTGGATGTGTGGTGTGAAAGGGATGTTTTTGCTCGCTTTGCAAGCCTTTATTCCAGTCTTGTTGAATTGTCTGTTACTGAGGTCTCCCAAATTACCCACCAGGGGTCCCTAGAATGGAAGTTAGGAGTCAGGGGAGTAGGAAGGGGCAGTGAGGTTGGGAGGGAAGCAGATGGGAATATGGGACTGGGTTCCTGGGGACAGTTAAAAGACGTCGTGGGACCTTCCCACCAAGACGGCAAGAGTAGGTGTCCAGGCGCTTGGGCCAGGAAGGGCTGTGGTCCAGGCTTTCCTCCGTTTGCCAGGGCCTTGGGACTCCAATGGTCATCTCTGGGATAGGAAGGGCCTTAATGAAGGAGCCCAGGGTTTCCACTGTTCCTACCTTAGGACCCGCTTTTTGCCAGCAACTTTCACGGGAGCTTTCGCGGTTTACTCTTCTGTGTAATTACTAGTGACAGCCAGGCTTAGTGGTGGAGACCTGTGTTTCTAGCTACAAGGGAGACCAACGTAGGGGGGAAGTTAAAGCTAGCCTGGGCAACTCCGTGAAACCTTCTCGGGGACAGAGAAGGCTGCAGGTGTTGCTTAGTGGTTAGCACGTGGCCATCACGCACCAAGCCCTGGGCTCAATCTTTTCTACCACCGCTAACTCTAAAATAGCGGTGGAAACAACTGGTGCTGCGTGCAGGGGAAGGACCAGACCACTGCAGCAGTCTGGTGTACTTCCTTCCCAGGCAGCCTCACCCAGTACTGACAGCAGGGAGCGGAGAGCCCAGGACCGCCTCAGGGGCATCATCTCAAGGTGCAGCATCTCAGCCCCCCCCCCCCCCAGCTGTCTGCATCATTGCTAAGAAACCCCATCTGCTATTACAGAAATCAGAACTATGGTCACACTGTGGTCTGTGGATCCATGAACACCACTGTGGACCCCGGTTCTCTCACCAGGAGTAGGACTGGAAACTTTTCAGTGAAGCACCAGGGCCAGCCTCAGATTCCGCTGAGTTAAGTCCCATAGAAGTGTGTCCTCTTTTTTTTTTTTTTTTTAATGTACTTTGGTCTTTGGCCTGCATGTCTGTGTGAGGGAGTTGGAACCAATGGAACCTGAATTACAGACAGTTGTGAGCTGCCATGTGGGTGCTGGGAATTGAACCTGGGTCCTCTGGAAGAATGGCCAATAGTAAGCCATCCCTCCAGTCCCCATGAGCCCTCATTTCAAATTTAAGCAATGTGCTTTCATAACCTTCTTTATAGAAGAAGTAGACTTTTGGAAACTTGAACTTTGGAACCTTACTCCCCAGCCCCCAGGGTCTCCCTTGTGCCGAGTAGGAGGCCATAGGGATGCCAGGCCTTATCAATCCTGTCACTTGGTCAACCAGAGGGCTGGGTGGGGCTCACAGACACTATCTGGGAGCCACCTTCTCCACTGGGTGTTCCTGCCTCTCCAAGAAAGAGCCACTTGCCCAGAATTGCAAAAGGATAGTTTTAAATGCCAGTCCTGAATTCCTGTCACTAGAGGCGACCCTTCATTGCACTGAAGTGGACGTTAAGCCTACTCCATCGTAGAGGTTTAAACAATGAAACTGAACTCACAAAGCTAATTTACCCTCCCAACACAGTCACCTTTCTTGGGGGCTTCTACAGATCCCCCAGCCTGGTCTTCTACTTGATTGACCCAACAGACATCTCAGCCTAGTTACTCAAGCTCGGGATGTACCTGGAGCTTGCAATTCTGACTGCAGATCAGCAGTTTCAGCATCCTGGACTCTGCACAGGTCTGGGCTCTTTGTGTTCACAGGTGGAGAAACCAAGACTGGCTTTTCTCCAGGCAGCACCCCAGCCTACACCACCATACAGCTGGGTCCCTCCTCCGCTGGAATCATGGGCACATTTAAATCCCTCTAAGCTTCTATTTCCTCACCTTAAAAACCCCAGTGATGATAGAACTGCCCTTACAGAGAGAGTTTGGTGTGAAGAACTTGGAAAGCACTTGATAAATGTCACTGATCCTAGGTCACACAAAAGCAATCCAGTATAAACCTGCTGCCAAATACATACGATAGCATTGGGAGGCTTTAAAAAAATGTGCTTAGAATATCTCTTTTTTATGATTTATTTATTTTTATGTGTATTGGTGTTTTGCCTGTGAGGGTGCCAGACACCTGGAACTGGAGTTATAAGCAGTTGTGAGCCACCATGTGGGTGCTGGGAGTTGAACTCAGGCCCTCTGGAAGAGAAGCCAGTGCTTTTAACCCCTGAGCCATCTCTCTAACCCACTTAGAATCTCTCTTAATCCTGATATTTGGACATTCTTTTATTCTTTTGTTTTGTTTGTCTGATTTGTTTTGAAACAGGGTCTCTCTACATAGTTTTGGTTGTCCTGGACTGAGTAGATCAGGCTGGCCAGTTGAACTCACGGAGATCTGCCTCCTGAGTGCTGGGATGAACAGTGTGTGCCAAACTCAACTACTCTTTATTTACTTTTATTTTATGTATTTTATAGTCTGATTTGCTTTGATACCTGAGACTCAGAACTTCAAGGCTGGCTGAAGAGATGGCTCAGCGATTAAGAGCATTGACCCGGATTCAATTCCCAGCACAAACATGGCAGCTCACAACTGTCTGTAACTCAAGTTCCAGTGGCTCCAACACCCTCACACAGATACGCAGTTTACACATCAACGCATAAAAAAATAAATAAAAAAATTCAAGACCGTCCTTGGGTATATAGTAAGTTTGAGGCCAGTTCTAGACACACAAAACACTGCCTGCCCAAAAACAAAAGTAAAAGTGAGTAGATTAAAAAAAATAATAATAACAGGTAGTTCTGGTCGTCGTCTATCGCCTCGCTATAGCTGTTTGAGGGAAGAAGGAGGAAAATCCCCCGGTCTCCTTGGAGTGCCACAGCAAACATCCTTAAGTATTTCTGTCGACCAGATTCCTGGAAGAAACTCTAGCAGGGTCAAAGGCCACATTGAAATTGTGTTGAGCCAAGCTTGCCACCAAGAGCCCAACAGTCACCATGATGCTGAGCACAGAGGGCCGGGAGGGGTTCGTGGTGAAGGTCAGGGGCCTCCCCTGGTCCTGCTCAGCCGAGGAAGTGATGCGCTTCTTCTCTGATTGCAAAATCCAAAATGGCACATCAGGTGTTTGTTTCATCTACACCAGAGAAGGCAGACCAAGTGGTGAAGCGTTTGTCGAACTTGAATCTGAAGATGAGTGAAATTGGCTTTAAAGAAAGACAGAGAAACCATGGGACACAGATATGTTGAAGTATTCAAGTCCAACAGTGTTGAAATGGATTGGGTGTTAAAGCATACAGGTCCAAATAGTCCTGATACTGCCAATGATGGCTTTGTATGGCTTAGAGGACTCCCATTTGGCTGTAGCAAAGAAGAAATTGTTCAGTTCTTTTCGGGGCTGGAAATTGTGCCAAATGGGATGACACTGCCGGTGGACTTTCAGGGGCGCAGCACAGGGGAGGCCTTTGTGCAGTTTGCTTCACAGGAGATAGCTGAAAAGGCCTTAAAGAAACACAAGGAAAGAATAGGGCACAGGTACATTGAGATCTTCAAGAGTAGCAGAGCTTAAGTCCGGACCCACTATGATCCGCCTCGAAAGCTCATGACTATGCAGCGCCTGGGTCCTTATGATAGGCCAGGGGCAGGAAGAGGGTATAATAGCATTGGCAGAGGAG